TTTTTCAGGGTGTACTCTGCGTATATCCAGCGGTAATTGCAAGTGGGACTTGTGGGTTTACACCGGATCTATTCGCAAGGCGTCCGGTGAGATTAAAAAAGCGCGTGTTGCCAGCGGGTACCGTAGGTATATCGAGTGTGTATTTGCACTGTGTACAGGGTGTATATACAAAGGGTATTTCCAGTGTGTACTGTGGAGTATAAACAGTGGGTATTGTCAGTGTGTCATGTGTTCATGTTCAGTGTGTATTTGCAGTGCGTACTGTGAGTATAACCAGTGGGTATTTGCAGTCCGTACTGTCACTATAAACACTCTGTATTTCCAGTGCGTACTGTGGGTATACACAGTGCGTATTTGCAGTGCGTACTGTGAGTATAAACAGTGTGTATTTCCAGTGCGTACTGTGAATATAAACAGTGTGTATTTGCAGTGTGTACTGTGAGTATAAACAGTGTGTATTTGCAGTGTGTACTGTGAGTATAAACAGTGTGTATTTGCAGTGTGTACTGTGAGTATAAACAGTGTGTATTTGCAGTGTGTACTGTGAGTATAAACAGTGTGTATTTGCAGTGTGTACTGTGAGTATAAACAGTGTGTATTTGCAGTGTGTACTGTGAGTATAAACAGTGTGTATTTGCAGTGTGTACTGTGAGTATAAACAGTGTGTATTTGCAGTGTGTACTGTGAATATAAACAGTGTGTATTTGCAGTGTGTACTGTGAGTATAAACAGTGTGTATTTGCAGTGTGTACTGTGAGTATATACAGTGTGTATTTGCAGTGTGTACTGTGAGTATATACAGTGTGTATTTGCAGTGTGTACTGTGAGTATATACAGTGTGTATTTGCAGTGTGTACTGTGAGTATATACAGTGTGTATTTGCAGTGTGTACTGTGAGTATATACAGTGTGTATTTGCAGTGTGTACTGTGAGTATATACAGTGTGTATTTGCAGTGTGTACTGTGAGTATAAACAGTGTGTATTTGCAGTGTGTACTGTGAGTATAAACAGTGTGTATTTGCAGTGTGTACTGTGAGTATAAACAGTGTGTATTTGCAGTGTGTACTGTGAGTATAAACAGTGTGTATTTGCAGTGTGTACTGTGAGTATATACAGTGTGTATTTGCAGTGTGTACTGTGAGTATAAACAGTGTGTATTTGCAGTGTGTACTGTGAGTATATACAGTGTGTATTTGCAGTGTGTACTGTGAGTATATACAGTGTGTATTTGCAGTGTGTACTGTGAGTATATACAGTGTGTATTTGCAGTGTGTACTGTGAGTATAAACAGTGTGTATTTGCAGTGTGTACTGTGAGTATATACAGTGTGTATTTGCAGTGTGTACTGTGTGTATATACAGTGTGTATTTGCAGTGTGTACTGTGAGTATAAACAGTGTGTATTTGCAGTGTGTACTGTGAGTATAAACAGTGTGTATTTGCAGTGTGTACTGTGAGTATAAACAGTGTGTATTTGCAGTGTGTACTGTGAGTATAAACAGTGTGTATTTGCAGTGTGTACTGTGAGTATAAACAGTGTGTATTTGCAGTGTGTACTGTGAGTATAAACAGTGTGTATTTGCAGTGTGTACTGTGAGTATAAACAGTGTGTATTTGCAGTGTGTACTGTGTGTATATACAGTGTGTATTTGCAGTGTGTACTGTGAGTATATACAGTGTGTATTTGCAGTGTGTACTGTGAGTATATACAGTGTGTATTTGCAGTGTGTACTGACATGAAGCTGGAATGCCTGTTTGGATCCGGACGCTGTTAATCTTCAAGGCAGTTGGATCAGTCGGTTTGACTCTCTGGGGAAACTGATTATGTCCCTCCCCCCCTGCAGTTTCTGTCTCACAGCCGGATGACAACACCACCTGTAGGGCACGCACACACGCACGCACGCACACACAAAATCTCTTGAGGGGGAAGCTGACGTCAATCTCGTAGTACATGACAGTATTTGTTCTACGGTTTCTATGGCGTTACCTCTGTGTCAGTGTTACCTGTGTATGAACGGCTCCAGCAGTGTGTGTTGGGTCTGGTGAAGCTGCAGCAGGTTGCAGGGCAGATTGAGGAAGCTGCACAGCGCCTCCCATTGACTAGGACCTGCAACTACATACACACACACACAAAATTAATTAAAGTTAATTAATGAACTCAACATTTAAAATGTCATATTGAAACCATTTCCTTAAATTCTGATTAAGTTTAGAGAGATGCTTTCACATGTCACTTCTCAGCACTTCACACATACAAGCTGTGCGTATTGTTACCTAGCAGGTCAGCAGGTGGCGTCGTAGAGTTCAAGTAGTGGAAAAAAAGGGCGGCGGCTCGGAGGAACGGCAGGAAACCAACTTTAAGACAACGAAAGAGCTGCCAGCCAGACGTCACCTCGGGTAACACACTGACACACACACACACACACACACACACACACACACACACACGTTATCGTATTCATTGAATTCTTCTGTATGATTCTTCATTTATTTACCAACCATTTTGGCTTCTATTTACTTTATTGATGATTTTTTTCAATTTGTCATTGTCCTTATTTAATGAATCACATTTGTTCCTCTGTATCAAAACGGCTTCTGGTGATCAATCACAGCTGATCAGGTGTGTGTGTGTGTGTGTGTGTGTGTGTGTGACTCTACTGACCTGCCCAGGTGTTTCCTCAGCGTGTTGTAGAGACGGCTGGTAAGCTCCTCCTCCTCTGATCCGCTACTGTCCTGATCCATACACACCTCTTCTGCAGACAGACAGGTGAGACCCAGACAGATAAATGGTAAATGCACTGTACTTGTATACATATGTACTTGTATACATATGACTTTTCCACTCCAAGCGCTTTGACACATGTCGTCATTTACCCATTCATACACTGATGACAGCAGCTTCCACACACAGTGCCACCTGCCCATCAGCAACTAACAGTAGGGTTAGTACTAGAAGTCACAGCTACAGGAGCAATGCTGGGGTTAAGTGCCTTGCCCAAGGACACAGGCTTAGCAGGGCCCAGGATCAAACCACCAACCCTCTGATTGGGGGACAACCGTCCTCTCCACCCACCCAGTCGCCCCCACAGGCAGACCTGCATAAGTGTGTTTAAGTGTGTGTGCGAGAGGCAGCCACCTGTTGTGGAAGTTAGCAGGATTTGAACCAGATGAGCCACAGTGACCAGGTGAAGTAGGTGGAGGTGGGAGGAGTCTACCACTCTCTGTCCTGATTGGTCCAGACAGTGAACTGAGCTGTATGACATCACACTGTAGACCTGCAGATTACCGGGAAGCACATGTACGTCATAAATGTGATTTATTCTTCTTATACAAGTATAAATAAGATATACACCTGATTTAGTCATTATGAAGTGATGAAACTCACCAGCAGGTGAAACATGTCGATGTCGAGGATAGATGGAATGTTTTCCTCCTCAGAGTCTGGAACCACGGCTAAAACAACACCGACACACACACAATACAAACATGTGCAACTGTATTTTTGTCTGTGTGTTATAAGTGTGTGTCTGTTGTGTGTGTCCTACCTGCTAGCAACCTCATGAAGTGGGACTGAACTGTTATTGGTGGAGCTGCAGTCCAACAGGCGGAGCTGAATCTGGTGAGTGCGCTTAAGCAATCATCCTTTAACGTACACAAAACAAGTTTATATTCATATGATGCCGTGATGTACCACAGGTGACACAAGGTCTAGAGGTATATTCTTTTGATACGTTACTTCCTGAACACACCATTTATTTCGGGTGATGCTTTATTCAAACTTCAAACAAAACTAATAGATTTTTCTAACTAAACAGCCCCTCCCCTCAGCCCCTGCTGTCCAATTAAGAGACCCAACTATCTTTCTTACCTGTCGGCAAGGTAGACCTCCAAACAAAGGCTTGTCCTCATCCACCAGGAGGCGCTCTGCAAAGAAATGCACTTTCTTTGCACTTTTTTTTTCAGGACGACATCAGACCTCCCAGGTGTTTCCGTGCTCCTCCCAGGTGTGTGTGTGTGTGTGTGTGTGTGTGTACCTATGCTCTGGATGGTGTAGGCGCAGGTGGACCAGCTCAGCACCGGGACCCTCTGGTCCTGCTCGTTGGGGTTCACCTTCAGTCCCACCTTGTAGGTTGACATCCCGAAGGTTGTGATCATCTCCCTGATGCTGCTGGAAAACGGGTTCCTGAAAGAGAGTGACATCATCACCTACTGAAATGATTAATTCTTTTTTTTTTTCAATTCATTTTGTTTTGTATAGGCCAAAATTGCAAATTACAAATTTGCATCAGAGGGCTTTACAGTCTGAACACATGCGACATCCTTGGTCCCGAAACCCTCACATTGGTTGATGACATCATCCAGGTGTGATCCGCTTCCTAGGACAACCCCCCCATTCCCCTCTCGCTTTCTATTTCAATATGAATCCACATCTGATGATGGTTTTATCTGACCTTGGAGGAGGGAGGTTGTTTGTTCGGCTCAGCAGCGACCAGCCAGATATTTGTAATCCTATCACCTATCAGTTTATCTTATAACTATCTGCTTCTATCTCTGCTGCCAAAAGTTCTTTCTACCTCCATCTACAATTTAATCCTCTTTTTCTAACCCCAAAAAACTATCTTCTCCAACCTCCTCGAACCCCCCCCACTCTTCCCCAATCACTCCTGACCTTCTTCCTTTCCTCACCTGTCTCATCAACAACGCTCTGTTATCTGGCCGTTTTCCCAATTCTCTGAAGGAGAAGAGTTAACCCCCTCCTGAAGAAACCCACCCTCAACCCTTCTGAAGAACACAACTACAGACCGGTCTCTCTTCTTCCCTTTATGTCCAAAACTCTTGAACGTGTGATCTTTAACCAACTCTCCTCCTATCTCCACTGTAACAACCTCCTGGACCCCCACCAGTCAGGCTTCGGGGCCGTTCCACAGAGACTGCTCTCCTTGCTGTCTCAGAGCAACTTGTCAGCTAAATTACATGTAATGTAACTAATTAGTAGCAGACAATTACTTGATTTTTTTATTACATTTACAAGTCGGCTTTAAGTGCTTTTTTACTGGACCAAGGCTGAAACAGCTTCAGCTAAGCTAAAGCTAAGTAGCAGCAGGATGCCTCCATTCTCCAGACGACTCCTACAAACTCCTGCAGCATCAATGATTTCCATTAGCTCAGATTATGGAAAACACAATAGTTTGTTATCATAGTTATGCAGATGACACACAAATCTACATGACTATATCACCAGGGGACTACAATCCAATACGGGAGCTGGGTAAATGCATTGAACAAATCAACGACTGGATGTGCCAAAACGTTCTTCAATTAAACAAAGATAAAACAGAAGTAAATGTTTTTGGTAAAGCCGAGTTTATGCTTCTGCGTTTTCAGAGAGACGCAAAGACACTCACACACAAGACCCCCTTGTGTGTCCCTTGCGTGTCCTTTCACACCTCCTTGCGTTTAAAGCGACGCAGCCTCCTGGGACAAATGTGGGACATACGGGACAAATGTGTCCTTGATGAAAAGCAGCAGTGTGGATGCACGGGGCAATAAAGTCTATGATAAATAAATAAAGCAACCAACGACTTCCACACACAAAGACGTGACTCTCTAGGTCGTCTTCAACAGAACACGTGACTCCACCTGTTGTTCTGGAGGTGAATCGCTCTGCAACACACGCAAGACTTTACAACCAGGAAGTGAAACCAGCGCGTCGACGCGTAAAGACGCAGACGTAGAAACTTAAGAAGGATGAATGATTGAAAGTCAGCGCAGAACTTCAATCACTGATGTTAAAAACTATAAACCGAGCTAGAAATCAAGGTGTAATTATGGATTCAAACTTCAACCTGCACAACCATATCAAGACAGTTACAAATGAGCCTACTATCACCTAAAACAGGGGTCCCCAACCTCACGAATATGTCAAGAGGGACGAATGCACGTAATTAGGAGAGAATCCAATTCTCTAATGCAACTTATGTCTCAAACTGATTTGGAAGAACTTGTCCATGCATTTATCTTCAGTAGACTCGACTACTGTAACAGTGTTTTTACATGACTTTATAAAGCACTGAAGGGTTTAGGGCCAAAGTACATTTGTGATCTGCTGATACTTTATGAACCACATATCTGGAAAAGAGTCCCAGAAAGGTGCAGGTCTGCTGAGTGCCTCAGCTCCTTTGAATCCAGTTTAAAGACTTTTCTGTTTGCTGATGGTGGTAGTCATATCTGATGGTTGTTATACAGCATATGGTGGTTATATCAGATGGTGGTCAGTCCTGCCTGACATTGACTACTACCGTCATTATCATTAGTAGTCACATTAGTATTAATGACACCATTACGTCCTTTGGCATCATTGTTATTTTTCTACATCCACTACAACTGTTAGTATTAGTAGTCATTTTAAATCATTATGTGGCTTACTAATACCAATGTGTGAATCATTTCTGCCGTATGCATTGAACATATTGTACGACTTTTACGTTGTTCATTCTGTACACTTGACTTGAAAGTTTTTATTTTGCGCTTTACAAAATAAATTGAATTGAATCTAGCAGATGTATGATGGTAATCCAAACTCACTGTGGAATGAAGTCCACTCTGAATCCATCAGAAACAGCAGGCTCCGCCCCCTCTGCTACACCTGAAAGAGACACACAGGACACTAAACACGTAACCAAATAATACGATTTATAAGAAAATTATATTAGGAAAAAAATGTCAAACAAAAATACATATTTAGAGGGTATGACCGCATCCTCTGAATCAAGCCCCCCAAAAAACGCGTGGTGAGCTTGGTCAATATGTCAAGAGGAACGAGTGCACGTAATTAGGAGAGAATCCGGTCAATTTTCAAAATAAAGTCAAATGACAAAATATATATATATATATATATATAAACTCAGCAAAAAAAGAAACATCCCTTTTTCAGGAATGTGTATTTCAAGAATAATGTTGTAATAATCCAAATAACGTTACAGATCTTCATTGTAAAGGGTTTAAACAATGTTTTCCATGCATGTTCAATTAACCATAATCAACCAATTAACATGCACCTGTAGAATGGTCGTTAAGACCTTAACAGCTTACAGAGAGTAGGCATTTAAGGTCACAGTTCTAAAACAGCCACAACAACTGCAAGAGTCACACCAGGAACACACAATCCCTCCATCAGTGCTCAGACTGTCCGCAATAGGCTGAGAGAGGCTGGACTGAGGGCTCGTAGGCCTGTTGTAAGGCAGGTCCTTACCAGACATCACCAGCACAAGCCCACCTTTGCTGTACCAGACAGAAGTGGCAAAAAGTGCTCTTCACTGATGAGTCACGGTTTTGTCTCACCAGGGGTGATGGACGGATTCGAAGGAATAAGCGTTACACAGAGGCCTGTACCCTGGAGCGGGATCGATTTGGAGGTGGGGGGTCCGTCATGGTCTGGGGCGGTATATCACATCACCATCAGACTGAGCGTGTTGTCATTGCAGGCAATCTCAATGCCTTGCGGTACAGGGAAGACATCCTCCTCCCTCATGTGGTATCCTTTATGCATGATCCTCCAGCAGGACAATGCCACCAGCCATACTGCTCGTTCTGTGCGTGAGTTTCTGCATGACAGCAATGTCAGTGTTCTGCCAGGCCAGCGAAGAGCCCGGATCTCAATCCCATTGAGCATGTCTGGGACCCGTTGGATCGCAGGGTGAAGGCTAGGGCCATTCCTCCCAGAAATGTCCAGGAACTTGCAAGTGCCTTGGTGGAAGAGTGGGGTAACGTCCAGTCCATGAGGAGGAGATGCACTGCAGTACTTCAAGCAGCTGGTGGCCACACCAGATACTGACCGGTACTTTTGATTTTCAGCCTCCCTTCATTCAGGAACACATTATTCTATTTCTGTTAGTCACATGTCTGTGAAACATTTTTAGTTTGTCTTATGGTGTTGACTCTTGTACTGTTCATACAAATATTTACACACATTAAGTTTACTGAAAGTAAAAACAGTTGAAAGTCAGAGGACGTTTCTTTTTTTGCTGAGTTTATTCCTTTATTCCTTTTGTGGTGCGGCCCGGTACCAAACGGCCCGGTGGTTGGGGAGGGTTAGGGTTCCTGTGTGCAGTGTGCTTCCTGTGTGCAGTGACTCAACTCTAAATGATTTTTAGGGTACTGACCATTAGACAGCTTCCTGTGGGCGAAGTGGAGTGCTGCTATTTGCTGATTGGTTGTTTTAAGCCACGCCTCCAGACTGGGATGATCGACCCTGGGAGATAAAAATTGAGTTTACCTGTAGTCAGGTTTGTGTACCTGTGTTTTAGTGTGTGCATATGTATTTACCTGTAGTGTGGGGTGTGTTTGTACCAGAGGTCAAGTGTGTGTGTGTGTGGGTGTGTGTGTGTGTGTGTGTGTACCTGTGGTCAGGTGAGTGTGTGTGGGGCAGCAGAGGGATCACAGTGTTGCTCAGACACTCGCACAGAGGACACAGGAACTCTCCGTTCTCAACATCATAGCTGGTGTGACCTCGAAGACGCTGCTGACGTCTCTGCTCTTTCAACTGCACCGCCTCAAAGTACCTGAGATCAGAGACACACAGCGACACACGCACAGAGACACACCGGTGTAAAATCATCAGACAGGACATTTGAGCAGAGTTGACACACATTGTGGGCGACTGTGGGTGAGTGGGGAGCACGGACGTCCTGCTCCTGTAGGTGTGAATGTTAGTTACTGAGGGGCATCTGGCACTGTGTATGGTAGCTCCTGAATGGGTTTGTATCTGTTGTGTTTTCTGTGGAGTTTTGTAATTCGTGAAGTTTTGTTATTTCTTATTTACATGTGTGATCAAATGTTCACCTGCCAGAGCTATACATATAAATGCCAGTAACACTTATGGAGGTTTAGCAGCGCAATAGTGTAGTGCCCCTTTAAGAGAGGAGTGTGCTGTGAGGACACGTGACCGGTGTTTACTACGTGAAAAGGAAGCGCGAGATTCACTTAGTTTGTAATGACTTTCAACCCGGTGTGCAGCCACTTGGTTAGCTCTCTTAATATCCAATGTTTTCTTGTCTGCTTCATGTTGTCTGATGTCGCCATAATATGTTGCTGCTGTGTTTACTTTTAGCTTTATATGTTTAAAGTATGAAACGCGGACTGGTATGTGACGTAGGTACTTCCTGGTTTGCCTCGGGGCATTTGTAGTTTCCAGTGGTAGTTTCCTGCTAAGGAAAGACTGCATGCATTGTGAATGTGGTGCATAATGTTTGAATGTATGTACAAATAATGAAACTATAATGATGGTGAATTATTGTTATTATAGTTTATTAATAATGTTTATTTGTATTTTGAATAATGTTATTAAGATAAAGAACTGGGGAGCTGTGTTGGTTGTACTATGCACATGGAAATTGAAACGTTGCATTTCTTATTATTCCAGGTTTATTACCTGGTTCCCTTTTGAACAAAATAAACAAACAAATGAGGAATCCTGAGTAATGTCCTATGTATGCCGGGTTGCCCTTTCCGTGGGGAGAACACGGAACAGTATCCTCATGGTTGAAATGCACATATTTTAAGTCGCTTTGGATAAAAAGCCAGTAGAAAAGACAAAAAAAAGACCAAAGACAGTAGAAAAGCGCTATAGTACAGTACAGTCCAGTTATCATTACCATACATGCAACAGGGCTACTAGCCAGACTGCCAGACTGTCGAGCCGTGTATTCCTTTGGACCTCACTAGTAACGACTTCATGAACTTCTTCAATGATAAGATTCTGACTATCAAAGAGAAAATTGATGGTCTCCTGCCTTCAACCAGTGCCGACCCGTCCTCCGATGTAGGAACCTTGGATGCAGCAGTGGGCCCTGATGCCTGTTTGGATGCCTTCTCTTCCATCAACCTTCATCAACTGACTTCTTTATTTTCTGTCTCTTGGTATCCGATTCCGACTAAGCTGCTTAAGGAAGTTTTTCCTTTAGTTAGCACATCCTTATTAGATATTATCAATCTGTCTTTGTTGACAGGACATGTACCACAGTCCTTCAAGGTAGCTGTAATTAAACCTCTTAAGAAACCTACTCTTGCTCCAGAGGTGTTGGCTAACTACAGACCTATCTCTAATCTTCCCTTCCTCACTAAGATCCTTGAGAAATCCGTCGCAAATCAATTATGTGACTTTCTACAAAACAATGCTTTGTTCCAGGATTTCCAGTCAGGATTTTGAGTGCATCACAGTACAGAAACAGCACTGGTGAAAATTACGAATGATCTTCTACTTGCATCGGACCAAGGACTCATCTCTTTTCTTGTCTTGCTGAACCTCAGTGCCGCATTTGATACCATAGACTAGAGACTAGAACATTTAATTGGTATCAAAGGAACTGCACTCTGGTTTAAATCCTACTTATCGGACCGATCCCAGTTTGTGCTTGTAAACGGTGAATCCTCAAAGACCACCAATGTTGGTCACGGAGTCCCACAAGGTTCTGTACTTGGACCGATTTTATTTACCCTCTATATGCTTCCTTTGGGCGATCTTATCAGGAAACACTGCATAACCATTGTTATGCAGACGATACTCAACTGTATCTGTCGATCAAGCCAGAAGAGACGGACCAGCTAGTTAGACTTCAAGAATGTCTTGGAGACATCAAAACTTGGATGACCGGCAACTTCCTGATGCTAAACTCAGAAAAAACGGAAGTTATCCCGATAGGCCCAGAGCGCCTTTGAAGCCAGCTGTCACGTGATAGTTTTTATGGATGGAATTGCTCTGGTACCCAGCAGCACCGTCAGGAATCTGGGAGTTCTCTTCGACGAGGTTATGACCTTCAACTCGCATAAAAAGAAGACTTCAAGGACTGCCTATTTTCATCTACGTAACATATCAAAAATCAGGAACTTCCTGTCTCAAAGTGATGGAGAAAAATTAGTTAATGCGTTTGTCACTTCCAGACTGGACTACTGTAATTCTTTGTTACTTTGTTCTGTTGTGTGAGTGTTTCCTGTGCCGATGGTGGGTTTCGGGACAGACGATGTCGTATGTGTACAGACTGTGAAGCCCTCTGAGGCAAATTGTAATTTGTGATTTTGGGCTATACAAAACAAAATTAATTAAATTGAATTGATTGTACACAGCGCTCAAGGCGCTCAAGGCCAAACACGCCAAAGCTCGTCTACGACAGCGAGATGCTGAGCGGCGCTCAAGCGCGTGAGATATGGAGCTTGTTTCAGGGCGCGTCGGAGAAACAAAGCTGTCGTTCTCGCCGAGCACTTGATGAGATTGAAGAGCGAGAGACGGCGCCCTTTTCTCTACAGTAGCTGAACCGTCTTAACGGGGAGAATAAGTTATCTAAAGGAGGCCCTTGGCAGGCGGTTAGGGTTAGGAGAGCAGCCGAAGATTTAAGGCGTGGATGGCGAGGGGGGCAGCAGGAGCGGACGCACCTCGCAGCATCGAACGGACCCTGAAAGCACCGTCTCCTTATTGTGCGGAAAACACGGCACATGAGCTCCGGAGAAAATGGTATACAAAACATACATTGTCGGTTAATACATGTTTAATCGGTTAAAATCTTAAGGTCATTTAATCATTCCTAGTTTATGTTTTGATCAGAGTTGTGATTAAAGATTTGTGTGGGCCGCAAAAGATTTTCAGATTTCAAAGTGGGCCGCGGCATTCTTGAGTTTGGGAACCGCTGACCTAGGGGAAACACTGCTAAGACAGACAATTGTCCCAATACACATATACAAACAAACAGACACAAAAAAAACACAAAAAGGACTTTATATCAAGTTTCCTGTGTGCAGTGACTCACCTCTGCCAGCAGGTAGCGTGCATGATGTGTCCACAGCTGGCCGTGTGGATGCCCAGTGACAGGTCAGGGTGCATGAACACAGCCTCATGACGCTCTGAAAAATGCGTTCATGCAACAGACAAACAACATTGATTAACAGCGATTGGCTTCAGTCACAATGACGTCATTGTTAGGCTCCGCCTACCTGGGTCAGGTAGGTTACGATGACGGTTTTTAGACAAAACCGTAGACCTCTGGATAAAGGCCGCCAGCACCATGGCTCTACCTTGACCTCTGACCTCCTGCTCCTCCTGGCAGAGGATACACGTCACCAGCTGACGGTGCTCAGCTCTGCCCACTCTCCTGGGACCAACACAAACCTGTGAAACACAGGTGGATTCTGAACTGGGAGGACTGGGGGGAGGTGGGAGGGGGAGAAGACAGACAGACACAGAGAGAGACATTACTTTAAGATAGGGTTGCATAACCATCATCAGATTTCCTTCTTAACCTGTGTGTCCAGATATAGGTGTACACAGGCATACCTGCTCTCTGCCGCAGCAGCAGACGTAGATGCCTCCAGCTCCTCCAGGCTCTGCTGGAAAAGCTCTTTGTTCTCGTTGATGAAATGTTTCTGCATCTCAGACATTTGAGCCATGATCTTCTCCCTCCTGAGACGAGCCATCTCTGCCTTCCTCTTCCTCTCCGCCTTGTCCTTGTCTCTCACCGTCTGGAGAGACGACGACATCACCATCTTCACCACCATCATCCACTTTACCACCACCACCACCATCATCATCATCATCATCATCATCATAACCAGCATAACCACCACCACCACCACCCCCAATAATCCATAACTTTAACAGCTTGAGAGAAGGTTGGTGATCTTGCCTCCTCTGTTCCTTGGTCCTGGCTAATGTTGACGGTGAAGGAGGCCGACGTTTGTTCTCTCATCCTTTTGATGTTTGCAACCATCTGATCACACAAACAAACATTCAGATACAAAATTGATATGTCCATCACTAGAAACACTATTCACTCTGTACACATGACATCATTGTTGTCTGTCCATCCCGGGAGACGGATCCTCCTCTGACGTTCGCCCTGAGGTTTCTTCCCTTTTTTCTCCATGGAAGAAAACAATGAAGGTTTGCGGAGTTTTTCCTGTGTAGATGTGAGGGTTTCGGGACGGAGGATGTCGTACGTGCACAGAATGTAAAGCCCTCTGAGGCTAATTTGTAATTTGCGATTTTGGGCATTACAAAATAAAATGAATTGAATTAAACATATTTAGATAAATAATATCAGTACCTCAATTAAAATTAAATTGAGCCTACAGAGTGGCATCAGCACTCACCTTAAGGATCCAAGTGATCAGGTCTTTGTGAACCTCCAGATGAGGAGCGTTCTGAAGACTTTCCAACAGAGCCAGGACACTTCCTGAAGTATTGGGAGCTTCACCGGGACCTAGATGCAAACAAACACACACACACACACACACACACACACACTTATTCTTTATTACTTTTGTTACCGTGCAGACATGAGGAGGGAAAGGAAAGAGCATGTAGCTAGTTGGTATGGAACCTGGGCCGATGAAAAGCCTTGTGGGTCTGGATACTTAACCCGTTAGTTTATGAGTCTGAATACTGACACGAGGGACACCACAGTGTGCACTGACGTGTGATCTTGCAAGTGTAGTTAAAGGTGATGTCAAGGTCTCTGCTGCTGCACTCCAACTGCTGCTGTTCCTCCAGAAGAGCCACACCCACCAGATGAAGCACCTGTACACAGCACACGCACACACACACACACACACACACACACACACACACACACACACACACACATACATACACACACACAGATTGGACACTGGACACAGTTGGAACAAGACTCCAAACACCCCCCTGAGTATTTACATATGAATTTAGGACAGTACACCCCCTGTATGCGTCTCACCCTCTGCAGCATGGACTCGGTCCAGCACCCCCCACTGGGCTCCACAGCCCACTGCAGCACTGCGCCCTGGACAGCCAGCAGCACGTCACACTGAAGCAGGTTTACCAGGCTGCCGAACAGAGGACATAGAGGAGGTGGGGATGGGGGGGGGAGGGCTGAGCGCGCACAAGCACACACACACACACACACATTATCACCAAGAAAAATAATCACAAAGGTGTAACTATGAGACAAGACAGGTGTGTTTACCTGTGTCCTCTCTGTTCTGTCTCCTTAGCTTCCTCTGAGCCTCCTCCGCCTGCAACATGTCCCATATTGTTACTATGACATCACACACTGTTACCATGACAAAAACTTTTAAAAGTTTTAATGATCTTTTAAAACAATGATTCTGGTAACTGTGCCTTTTTAATGCTTAGATCTCACAGCAGCATTTGACACAGTGGATCACACATCCTCTTGTCACGCCTCCAGCACTATGTGGGCATTAGAGGTTCTGTTCTAGAGTGGTTTAAATCCCACCTTGCAGATAGATCCTTCGGTGTACAATTGGCTTATTTGAGGAAATTTTACTTTTTTGTTTCTTGTTCTTCTGAGTTTGTATCCTTATGGTTGAATGCACTTCTTGTAAGTCGCTTTGGATAAAAGCGTCAGCTAAATGACATGTGATGTAATGTAATTGGGGAAGTTTTCCTCCTTAGTGGCCCCTCTGACCCGCGGAGTCCCCCAGGGGTCAGTTGTAGGCCCTGATCTCCTTATATATGTTCCCCCTGGGGTCGATATTTATGAAGCATGGAATCCCTTTTCATTGCTTTGCTGATGATGTGCAGGTGTACTTGCCATTAAAGGCCCCTCCAAGGAATCCCTTCACGCTGTGTTTGATTGTATGACGGACATTAAAACATGGATGGACCTAAACTTCTTCAAACTAAATGAAAACAAAACAGAGATTGTGCTATTTGGTCGCCCTGACATGGTCCAGGTCCTTGCCAGGTCCCTTGGCCCACTACCACCTTACACAGGTTCCCAGGCCAGAAACCTTGGTGTAATTATTCATGGGGCGTTTAAATTGGACCAGCAGGTCCGCTCTGTGGTTGAGGCTAGCTTCTTCCAGCTTCGGCTTCTAGCTAAAGTCCAACCCGATCTAAACAGGGCTGACCTCGAAAAAGTCATGCATGCTTTTATATCTTCACGTTTGGACTATTGCAACTCCCTGTATGTCGGTATCGGCCGATCAGAACTCAACGTCTACAGCTTGTGCAGAATGCAGCAGCCCGTCTCCTGACGGGACAAAGAAGCATGGTTCACATAACGCCAGTGCTTTCCTCTCCACTGGCTTCCCGTTAGCTTCAGAATAGATTTTAAGAATCTTTTATGTGTTTTTAAGTCTCTGCATGGACTGGTCCCAGAATATTTATCCAGCCTCATTAATGTGCATCAACCCTCCAGAGCCCTGAGGTCAGCTGACCAGCTGGTTCTGGACGTTCCTCGGTCGTTCCTTAAAACAAAAGGAGATGGAGCCTTCGCCGTAGCGGGTCCCACACTGTGGAACGCTTTGCCGCCTGCTGTGCGGTCTGCGACGAGCCTTTCTACTTTTAAAACTCGCCTTAAGACCCACTTGTTTACCTTTGGCCTTTGGCTGAGTTAAGTCACCCGTATTGGATTTTTTATTTGTTTGCCTTTTGCCGTTTTTTTTCTTCTTTGTTGTTTTACTTTTGCTCGTATTGTTTATTGCTGCTGATCGTTTTTATCCTGTAAAGCCCTTTGGCTGGCCATTAGCCTTTAAAAGTGCTATATAAATAAAATTGATATTGACATCACACAATCCTGTGTACCTTGGATTGGTCGGCTCTGCTGTAGTGATGAAAGTACAGGTTGAAGTGTTTGTTCCACTCAGGACGTAGTTCATAGAGACCTCGGCCGGTCACACCTGGTTTCCTGTTAACACATATGAGTGAGTAGATATTTAAGGTGGACTGATGACAGTGAGATTGCTGGATATTTAAGGTGGACGGATGATTGTTAGGTAGATTTTGGTTTAATGTGGTGTTGGAGGAAACTGACTTGAATGAAGCCACACTGTCGATGACTCTTTCCAGACCCGTCTCCTTGTTCCCCTGAAGAGGAAAACAGTTTGTATGTATACAGCGGACGGGTAATCCGACCAACGGGTAATTAGAAGGACAGTTAAGCAGACGGGTTGGTGTCTCACATTCTCTGGCAGAGCCTTCACAAGTTCGCTGTGAGCCATCGGTCTGATTGACAGCTGGTGGATGATTTCTCTTCTGACCTCATCAAAGGGCTCCACCTGGCCGACACCTGACCGGTAACGCTCACCTGTACCACACACCATTCATCTGATGTATTACAGTTAATCTATAGAGGAACATGAAGGTCTGAACCACATCTCATCACAACGCCGCTATCAGGCAACGCTAGCTCAGCTGTTGTACTATATTATTGTATAAGTTTGTTTTTGTTTTTTTTGCATTTAAATGCATACAAGTTACATTAATCCTTGATATAGTTTTAAAGCAAACTCACAGATAACCATGATGATGAGGTGAAGCATCTCCTCGATCAGAGTGTTGTTCTGCTGGACCACGTCCTGTCGCAGACAGTAGGGTCAGTACTGACGATGTTAGCCTCTTGAACTTTACTTACAGTGGTTGATAGTCACTACTGACCTTGTTAGCCTCTCTGTATCTCTTTCTGCAGTCTGTGGAGCTGAAGATGTGAAAGAGTTCAAATCGGCTGAGAAGAATCATCAGGAAGTGGTTAGGATCCATCATGGAGGCTCCAGCCTGTCAGGGACCAGAAACAGGAAAAGACTTTAGCGACAACCACAAAATCGACAAAGACAAACTAACAAATGGAGCATATGTGTGTGATACTCTAGGAAGAGTGTGTTTCCACCTGCAGCATCACAATGTCCTTGTCAAACATCTCCACTCTGCACTTGACGTTGTGATAATAATAAATCTGAAACACACAAATTTCAATTCATGAATTATGTAGAGCAGAGCTGAGAGAACATATTACATCATATGATCAATGAATCGTACTGATGTGAGGGTCATTGGTCAGTGGATATCGAGTGTGTAAAGACTGTAAAAATCTATGAAAAACGTGTTATATTATACTGTTTGTATTAATAATACATATGATGGATTGTTTTCTGGGATGTTAACTCAGCATTCAGCCAGTATCTACTGACTTGGTTGATCAGGGAGAAGCCATTCCTCCTCCACATCCCAGCATGCACCTGGGCACAGAGGACCAGACAGCGGAGGGGGAGTTCGATCAAGAGGGGAGGGCTGAGATCCCCCTGAAGAAACACAAGCCGATAAATAATTGAGACTTACAGTACCAGTGAATAAAAACGTGTGTCTAACCCTTTGACTGGCATTGTACAGATACGTTTTATTTATTGACAACACGAGAAGCTTTAAATGACAAATGAAAGAATGAAGAGGCAGGCATTAGATTTCCTGGTAGAAAAGAACAAGAAAAACATATCACGTTTTTCGTCTACTAAGCCCTGCTGGTCAGAATAAAGTAAGCAAATATGTTTGTAGTAGAAAATCAGAAGCTGTCCATTTTGTACGTGAATAAAAATACATACACATGTATTTATTTATACACACACATATATACTGTACATGTATATATTGCAAATATATTAGTGCTGGGCAAAGATGACTTAATGTAATGGATTAATTGCATTATGCACAAAATCCAATAATGAATTAAACTAGCGTACTGCACGCTTTTATTTTTAAGTAATGTTATATATAATATAACAAACTTTTGGAGCAACAGTAAGTTAATATACAGGATATAAGTGTGTTTTCTTAATTGTATTTGTCTTTTTATCAGGGAGAAGCATGAACACTCAGTATTAAGTATTAAGTTCTTGTTCGGGCTCTAGCACTGTGCAGAGGACCTTTCAGCCTGTAAAGCCTGTGGATTTCAAAGTTTTTGCATCACTGATTGTTTGGGTCTCTGGTTAGCTGCTTCAATACTGTGTGATGCCTTTAAGTGCAGCGTTTCCCCTCGAGTGATTAAATGGAGTTAATGGTTTGCTATGTATGCATTATGTATGCGTTAACGTGCCCCGCCTTAATATATGTGACTATAGTTTATGTATATCAAACATATGCAGTTCATATATATATATATATATATATATATATATATATATATATATATATATATATATATATACACACACACACACACATACTGACCAGAGGAAGCAGTTCAGGGAAACGCGACGCAACTTCTGTCCTGCTGAGAAGAACATGAAGACCTGAGAACAAAGACATGTGTACAGTGAGTGTTACTGTGTGTGTTACTGTGTGTGTTACTGTGTGTGTTACATTGAGTGTTACTGTGTGTGTTACTGTGAGTGTTACTGTGTGTGTTACTGTGTGTGTTACTGTGTGTGTTACATTGAGTGTTACTGTGTGTGTTACTGTGTGTGTTACAGTGAGTGTTACTGTGTGTGTTACAGTGAGTGTTACTGTGTGTGTCACAGTGAGTGTTACTGTGTGTGTTACTGTGTGTGTTACTGTGTGTGTCACAGTGAGTGTTACTGTGTGTGTTACTGTGTGTGTTACTGTGTGTGTTACAGTGAGTGTTACTGTGTGTGTTACAGTGAGTGTTACTGTGTGTGTTACTGTGTGTGTTACATTGAGTGTTACTGTGTGTGTTACTGTGTGTGTTACAGTGAGTGTTACTGTGTGTGTTACAGTGAGTGTTACTGTGTGTGTTACTGTGTGTGTTACTGTGAGTGTTACTGTGTGTGTTACAGTGAGTGTTACAGTGAGTGTTACTGTGTGCGTTACTGTGTGTGTTACTGTGTGTGTTACAGTGAGTGTTACTGTGTGTGTCACAGTGAGTGTTACTGTGTGTGTTACTGTGTGTTACAGTGAGTGTTACTGTGTGTGTTACAGTGAGTGTTACAGTGAGTGTTACTGTATGTGTGTCATGGTGGGTCTTACGGTGTGTGTTACTGTGTGTGTGTGTCATAGTGGGTCTTACTGTGTGTGTTACTGTGTGTGTGTCATAGTGGGTCTTACGGTGTGTGTTACTGTGTGTGTGTCATAGTGGGTCTTACTGTGTGTGTTACTGTGTGTGTGTCATAGTGGGTCTTACTGTGTGTGTTACGGTGTGTGTGTCATAGTGCGTCTTACTGTGTGTGTTACTGTGTGTGTGTCATAGTGGGTCTTACTGTGTGTGTTACTGTGTGTGTGTCATAGTGCGTCTTACTGTGTGTGTTACTGTGTGTGTGTCATAGTGGGTCTTACTGTGTGTGTTACTGTGTGTGTGTCACAGTGGGTCTTACTGTGTGTGTTACGGTGTGTGTGTCATAGTGGGTCTTACTGTGTGTGTTACTGTGTGTGTGTGTCATAGTGGGTCTTACTGTGTGTGTTACTGTGTGTGTGTCATAGTGGGTCTTACTGTGTGTGTTACTGTGTGTGTGTGTCATAGTGGGTCTCACGTTGTGTGTTACTGTGTGTGTGTCATAGTGGGTCTCACGGTGTGTGTTACAGATTGTGTCACAGTGGGTCTTACTGTGTGTGTTACTGTGTGTGTGTCATAGTGGGTCTTACTGTGTGTGTTACTGTGTGTGTGTCATAGTGGGTCTTACTGTGTGTGTTACTGTGTGTGTGTGTCATAGTGGGTCTCACGTTGTGTGTTACTGTGTGTGTGTCATAGTGGGTCTCACGGTGTGTGTTACAGATTGTGTCACAGTGGGTCTTACTGTGTGTGTTACTGTGTGTGTGTCATAGTGGGTCTTACTGTGTGTGTTACTGTGTGTGTGTCATAGTGGGTCTTACTGTGTGTGTTACTGTGTGTGTGTCATAGTGGGTCTTACTGTGTGTGTTACTGTGTGTGTGTCATAGTGGGTCTTACTGTGTGTGTTACTGTGTGTGTGTCATAGTGGGTCTCACGTTGTGTGTTACTGTGTGTGTGTCATAGTGGGTCTCACGGTGTGTGTTACAGATTGTGTCACAGTGGGTTTACCTGCGAGCAGTCTGCAGACAGGAAGGTGTATGGATACCTTGTCCTGAGACACCTGGTACCTGAAGGTCTCCACACAGTGACTGGCCAGACTCAAGCTGATTGGCTGCTCGCCGTCTGGAAGGCCACTGTGACACTGACTGAGCGCGCCCAGGCACTTCCTGTACGCCTCAATCAGCACTCGCTCCTGAGTATATAAAAGGCAAATAGTCAAATATAAGCTGCTGTATTAATCATGTACTATACTATTTAGTGTATGCTATCTGTACTACGTATAAGACCTTCTAGACATATGGCATATGACAATATGCAGTATATGTAGTAATATGAAGTAGTAAGATTAGAGGAGTAGTAACCCAGTCTCACATCAGTGGAGCACCACTCTTGGATCATGGAAATGATGTGAGTCAGTTTCATTTGCAGAGTGAATGCTGCCTCCCACTCAGGCTCCATCTCTATGTGCTGCCCCACCTGTCTCACCACGGGGTCCATACCCTGACACAGACAGACGGTTTAAGAGGCAAAGAAAGAGGTGTGGAAAGACAAAGAGAGTTTCAGACAGACATATTCAGAGAAAGGAAATAGATGTGTTCAGATAGAGAGAAAGACAAGTTCAGGCAAACCGGTTCAGACAGACAGGTCTTGGTTACCTGCATACACTTGAGCAGCTCCAGAAAAGCATCCAAACCTTCCAGAAACTTCAGTCTGAGCTGTTCGCTCCACTCAGACGGATGACTGATGAGAACGTACCTGCCGACACACAAGTGAACTGATCCGTAAGTCAAGATGGAACAGCTGTAACTCCACTTTATGCCTCTTACTCTCTCTAGCGAACATGACCTGACTCTGTACCTATCCGTTGTAACATTCGCGCCCTCTCCCTGGCCTCCTCTGTCTACAACCTTCCCTTCAACGGACTCCTTCCCTCTCATACATCTGAACTCTGCCACAGGCACTCTACATCACCCTCTCCATCTGTCCAGTAACAGGGCCCCCTGGTGGTCCGACTCAGTGAGAGAGCCACTATGCGAGCAGCAGAAAGGAAACACTGCGATGACCTGCTCGCTTATCAATCTCTTCTTTCTCTACAACCAAAAGCTCATTCTTTTCAAGCCTCATTGACCCCCCCAACCCACTCCTCCCTCCAGCAGAGCCACTTTCTCAACTATTTTACAAAAGAGATTCTAATCCTCCCCCTGTGAATACATTTCCATCCACTTCATATTCATCCCCTTCACTTTCCTCTTTCACCCCCTTGTCTCCAGACCAAGTTCTCACCTTGGTAACCTGTGCCCGACCAACCACTTGCCCCCTTTATAGAGATCCTGTCTCACATTTTCCAGGCTATTGCTCCTCGCCTTCTTTTTCTCTCCGATCTTATCAATTCCCTGTCAACTGTGTTAACTCTCTGAAGGAGTCTCTCTCTCTGTCCTTATCCTTTGTGATCTTCGAGTGAACCACAGGATCCTTTTTTCCTCCCTTCAAGAACTGGGTGTCTCAGGATCTGCTCCGTCCTAGGTCCCCTCCTACACAAACTGTCTCGGCTTTGTCATCCACTCACATGGCTTCTCCTACCATCGCTATGCTGATAACGCCCAACTAATTGCGTCTTTTCCCCAATCTGAGACACAGATTGAAGCTTGAATTTCTGCCTGTTTGGCTGACATCTCTCTGTGGAGTTTTGAGGCACCGCGAGTTCTTTTATAACTCCTCCTAACAGGTCTACCTGCCAGCGCCATCAAATCTCTGCAGCTCATTCAGAATGCAGCAGCTCGACTGGTCTTTTCTCTTGAATTACCCCACAGTAGTCCTTCCTTCACTGGTTATCAATCCGACCCCGTCACCTGGTTAGCAGTACTTTCCCGTCACTGATTGCCAGTGGCTTCCCACATCCGTTTCAAAATATTGGTACTTGGTACCATGCGGCCAACAGAGTCGAGTCTGCATCCAGTACCTGGTCTAACCTTACGTCCCTGACCACTCACTCCGCTCTGCATCAATCTGCTTGTTGCTCCCTCACTGAGAGCTAAACAGAATCAACAGCATGCCGATTGTTTGATGACCTGGATGCTAAATGGCGGAATGAGCTCCCCATTGACATAAGGAACCCTCTAAGCTGAAAATACACTTCTACCCACTGCACCTGGACTAGGTAGCACCTCGTTCCACTATATCTGGACTAGTTAGCCTCTCTACCCACTGTACCTGGACTAGGTAGCGCTTTATTGCTACTTACAATGGCACTTTGTGGTTTGGCTTTCTTGTAGAAATGGTACTTGATTCTTGTTGTTCTGGTCTGTTCCCTCTTGGTTAAATGCACTTACTGTAAGTCACTTTGGATAAGAGCCTTAACTAAATGAAAAATGTAAATGTATAAACTGGTATAGTAGCTGGTGTATAAACTGGTATAGTAACTGGTAAACTGGTTTAGAGTAACTCGGGATTAACTGGTCCTAACTTGAGGTCTCCGATGAGGCTCTGGACTCGTCCGAACTTGAAGGCCTGCTGGGCGGTGTAGCGGTCAAACTGGAAGCGTCCTTGCAGGTCTCGGTGACGGAGGTGATCAACAAAGGTCCTGATGATGGTGGTCATAAGGTTCTCCTCTACCATCAGCATCCGGGCCTGCAAAAAACACACATACACACAGTTATGATTTGTCACCTTCATCAGATGCTATTGTTATGGGTTAGGGTTACTAATACAGATAGAGTTGAAATGACAGTAAGCTTCTGGTTAATTATGCGTTCATGTTAATTATAATAATTCAATTTTATTGTAAGTTACTTGTGGTAGGTGACATGGAAATAGAAATAGTTATCGTTTTAGGATCATTAAAATGAATAGATGACGGAAAAAAGTCCCAACATTTATTTGTAAAATTAATCTCCACGGTTCAGTCTGTATTGTTGCACTTCTATTTGTCACCTCCATCTCACACACACTGAACTCACCAGCATCAGGACACTGAAAATTTGCACTGATGGAAAACTCAGTCGTGGTCCTCTGTTACGTAGTCGCACTGTAAGCGTTCACACTTCTACCAGCAGGAGGGAGAGAGACAGGTGTGTGGTAGAGGAGGAGTACTCACCATGGTTGGGACGGTGAAGAGCTGAACAGACAGTGACGTCACTGACACCACTCGCTCGTGGTCGTCCTCCATAAAATCTGTCTGAAGGCGTCTGTAGTTCTAGAGGGTGACATTTCACCTCCAAGTCAAAGGGTTGCTAATGTTGGGCCGCCGGAACCAAATAGACTCCACAAAACGCTGCTTTAGAGCCGGACTGGTGATATTCTATTAATGTGGATCAATCCACTTCGGGAAATACACAAAACAACTACAAGAACTACAACAAGCGGCTGTGTTGGAAAATCTGTCTCTACCAAAAACAGCGGTTAGTGAGTAGAACACGACTGAAACACGTCCATAGAGGATCTCTGATGCTAAGACTGGCCAGGCCAACAGTTAAATAAAGGGCAGGTGTACATGGGCTGTTAAAGAGAGCGGGAGATGTCAATAAGTCAACACAACATCATCCGTAGCAACAGCAGTGTGAATGACATATACAACTAAACTTGTGTGTTACGTTTCAACGTGGCAGCGTTGTGTCTTACTGACACACATCGTACACTTTGACTTCTGATACTTTTATTGGTTAGATGTTAGCCCCACCTCTTTATCCGATCATCTGACAGGCTGATTGAAAAACTCTGGTGGTCAATAACTAGCTTAATAGTACATTTAACAATATCCTAATTTTACAGAAACGGTCAAATGACTGGCAGCAGCGACTGCCAAACAAGAACCGTAAAATTAAGGTTGCATTGGAGCTGGTGACACCAACAGACTTAACAAACTTGTTAAGAAGGCCGGCTCCATCATTGGCTGCAAACAAGACAGCTTGGAAAAGGTGTTGGAGGGGAGGTCACTGAAGAAACTGTTATCCATATTGGATCATCCTGACCACCTGCTGCAGGGACAGCGGAGCACGTCCTCCAACAGACTCCTTCAGCTCCGCTGTCACAAGGACCGATACAGGAGGTCATTCCTGCCCAGTGCAACAACTCTCTACAATAAACCATCTCTGGCCAAATAACGACAATAACAACCCTGTACTGCTGTGATGCTGCTGCTCTTCCTCTTCTCCTTTTACAAATGATTATTATTGTCTCTTTTTGAAGGTTATTCTTTTGTTTCAGTTTTATTTTATTTAATAATTTAATATTTCTGTCTTATTATATTGTATATAATGTGTATCTTTTTATTCTATTTTCTTCCCTGTACATGTTGCTGTGATACCAAAATTTCCCTCTTGAGGGATCAATAAAGTATCTATCTATCTATCTATCTATCTATCTAAAGTGTTTGATTGTAATAATACAGACAAAATCTATAAAATAGATGTATATCTGTTATGGTTTTCACACTTCATTTTAATTAAGTAATGTTACCTTAAGTAATGTTTAGCAGCCGCTGTTCCCAGTCATTTGACTGTTTTTTTTACAGTGTAGGCTTGTTGTTGAATTAAGGATAGTTAAAACCTGACAACCAGTAGGACCAGTTACAGCAGTGTTTCCCACACCTTTTCTGTCAGGATATTGGGAAATTGTAAGTCCCCCAACCGCATCGCCCCACTCCCCTAATAGGGTCATTCCATGTTTATATAAATATAAACTCTATACGAGAACATGTATTTTATAAAACAAGTACATTTACTCTTAATAGTTATATTACATTTTGTAAACATATTTTCAAGTAAATTTAATTGTTGGCAACAGTGCAAAAACTCTTATTTCCACATTTATACATTTTTCAAACCATTTGAAAAACCTCTCTCTCCCTCTCTCTCTCCCGCTCTCTCTCTCCCCCCGCTCTCTCTCTTCCTCTCTCTCCCGTGAGTGTACGGAGCGCGAGGTGAATTGTTTGACAGCGTTTTCTATCTGTTATTTCGGGGGGGGGGGGGGTTTCGGTGTGGTTCTGGTGTGTGTTGTGGTGTGAATGCGTGGTGGTGTGTATGTGTGACTTTCTTTTCTTTTCTCTATGTGTTTTTGTCCGTGTTTGTAGCCGGTCGGCATGTCGGACCTCACGGCGTGAAGCTCGCGCCGGGCTTTGCGTGCTCCGTGGAGGACTGCGGTCTGGCCGTGGGGGTTTGGTGGGGCACGGGAGTGTGAAGTCCGCCACGTGGATGAACCGCGTGGTGGTCATTTTTGTGGATAGCCTGGAGAAGGCGCTCGAGGTGGTGGCGAGCGGCGTGGTCGTCGGCGGGGCGCACGTGCCCGTTCCGCCGTTTGTCCCTGACGGAGTGCTGCTCGAGGAGCTGGTTAAACACGGGAAGGTGGTGTCCCCGTTGAAAAAACTGTCGTCAGGGTGCAAGTCACCGTTATTGAGGCATGTGGTGTCTCACAGGAGACAGACCCACATGGTCCTCACCAAAGCCCAGGCCCTCAGCCTGGTGATTAAGGTGAGGATCGAGGGGGTTGATTATGTTATGTTTGCCACATCGGATGATGGGAGGTGTTTCCGATGTGGTGGAGAGGGACACCTGCCGAGGGTGTGTCCGGAGAAGAACCCCTCCACTCGGGACCAGAACCGGGGAGAGGCCAGGGAGGAAGGTGTGGACTAGCGGGTCGGTCTGGTGGGAGAGGAGATGGGAGGGGTCCAGCAGGTGGCTGAGGGGGTGAGTGTGGGGACGGGTGAGGCGCAGCCGGTCGGTCAGGAGGGTGAGGGAATGAATGTCGGAGTGGACGGGGGGTTGAATGGAGCCCAGCGGGCGGGTCTCGTGTGTGACAGAGTGAAAGAGAGGATGGGGGTCCAACGGGAAGGTGAAGGAGCTCGGGGGGCGCTCGTTGGTGGGGGTCCTGTCCGAGGTGGAAGCTCGGACAGCGAGGAGGATATGGAAGAGGAGGGGGGGGGGGTCTTTAAGGTGAGGCGTCCGTCCGGCTGAGGAGGATCCTGAGCGGGGCGGCCTACTGACCGAGAAGGAGATGCTGGAACGGCGGGGTCCAGATCGACTTTGATTATATTATATTGATTACACCACCGGCTGCCAAACTCAAGAATGCCGCGGCCCACTTTGAAATCTGAAAATCTTTGGCGGCCCACCCAAACCTTTAATCACAACTCTGATCTGAACTCTGAGGTGGAGACGGTGCTTTCAGGGTCCGATCGATGCTGCGAGGTGCGTCCGCTCCCGCCGCCCCCCTCGCCATCCACGCCTTAAATCTTCGGCTGCTCTCCAGCCACGCCGCCTGCCAAGGGCCCCTTTAGAATAACTTATTCTCCCTGTTAAGACGGTTCAGCTACTTTAAAGAAAAGGGCGCCGTCTCTCGCTCTTTAATCTCATCAAGTGCTCGGCGAGAACGACAGCTTTTTTTCTCCGACGCGCCCTGAAACAAGCTCCATACCTCACGCGCTTGAGCGCCGCTCAGCATCTCGCCGTCGTAGACGAGCTTTGGCGTGTTTGGCCTTGAGCGCCTTGTACAACCAGTATGGATCAACCGATTAACCAATCTGTTCGTTTAAATTGTTTGTGCTTCATCAATTAATGTTTCACATAACTAATGTGCCGCATCATACATATTTTTATATTAATTTCAAACTTTTCAAAATTGAAAATTAAAAACTTTTTATTTATTTATTGTAAATGACCTCTCGCGGCCCACCTGCAGTACCATCGCGGCCCCCTGGTGGGCTGCGGCCCACACTTTGGGAATCGCTGGATTACACTATATATGTTATACTAAATTGATTATGCTTTATATATTTTATATAACTGCTAAATTGTCATCTTATTGATATTGTTTTATGTAAAATAAAGGTTTTTCTAAGACTCAAAACTCTCTCTCCCTCTCTACCTCCCCAGTTTTGGAACTAGTGACTTAGAGGATCTGGTTGTTAGGATTAGTTAAACCTGATAAGCAGTAGAACTGTGTTGAGGGATTTAGTTGGTTAGTTTGTTACCTTGGCAAACTGGATGGCAAAGACCTTCTTGTATTTGAAGTCCATGAGGAGGCTGTTCATCAGCAGCTGGTGGTAGATGTTCCTTCCTCCTTGAGACACAACACACATCTGTTAGACTTATTTATTACATCTTGCATATCATATATTGCATAAGTGTAGTATATGCCAAATATATTGGTAGCATTAAAGTATTATATTTGTGGTATATTCGTTGAATGCACGCATGGTAGAGGCGCAGTAAATACATAGTGAAAGCATATGTATCTAAGTAGCATATGCCTATGTAAATGTATTGTATGAGTATAATATATGCAGTGTATATATATATATATATAATGTATGTATTTTCAGTAAATCCGTATGATGTGCAGTATATGCGTATATATATAAATATATGCGTAGCATATTCCTAATATATGCGTATGTATAAGTTTGTTTTTTTTAAATCATACAATGTGATTTTCCAGATTTGTTTTAGATTCCGTCACTCACTCACTCACACACACACACACACACACACACACACACACACACACACACACACACACACACACACACACACACACACACACACACACACACACACGCGCTTTGTTAGTGGGAAAACCTGAAAAATCGGCTGTGTATCAAACGTGTTCTCCCCACTGTACGAAGTATCCATGTAGTATATGCGTAGTATATCCACATATATATGCAGATTCATATGCATTGTTTATACATCTGTATATACGTATGATGTGTATGAGTAGAATAAGCCTAGAATACAAGTATTGTACAAGTATTGTACAAGTAATGTATTGGTATTCACCTTTCCACATCTTTGAGTCATTGAGCATCAGTTTGTCCACCAGAGACGAGTACTCTCCTTCTGGACCTTTCTGCAGGCCGACCTCACACAGAATCCTCCTCAGGCCGTCTGAAACGCAGCAAGGGCACACTTACATCACACACACAGTGAAGGATTATGGGTAATGAGTGGCAAACCTACCAGAGTACTGAATAATCTGACCCAACCAGCTTAGAGCCCTCAGAGCAAAACACTGGTGAGCAACAACAGATGAGTGCATCACCTCCACCCTGAGAGGCTTGGACTGACGACTGGTGTTCCTCTATGGGGGGTCGGGAGAAGGAGGAAACTTGAAGTGATTTTTATATTATACAAGTATATTCACCTCCTCCGTCATGTCTCAGTGATGAAAGACACTCACCACTATAACAGACTTGGCTTGGTCACAGAACTGGAAGTCTCCATAGCGAACTGACTTCCTGCCCTATAGAGAAGACACACACACATTTGAGGGCAGGCCTTAGACTGCTGCAGCGGGGACAGAAACAAAGAATGGTAGCAAACTCTCACATAGACAAATTTTCCTTTTAAATCTCTTCCAGGCAGAGTTGATGGAACCAAAGTTGATAACCTAACCTCGGTGAACATATTCTGTAGAACTTGCATAAATAGAAGTGAGCAATAGGCATGTCGCAATATGCGATAAAGTGACATATCACGTGAAATCGCGTGCAGTCATTTTTGGTGCTGCAATATTCATTTTACATATAAATGAACGTCACCAACATTTAAGTCGCGCTGCTTCTGTCCCTTTCCCTTGTGTGGGGCTTAAGGCCGGCGCATGCGTCTGCGTCGTTGCGTCAACGGACTCGTTTCAATTCATGCTTCTAAAAGTCTTGCGTGTGTTGCAGAGCAATTCACCGCCAGAACAACAGGCGGAGTAACGTGTTTGTATAAGTGGTCATATTTGCGCATTTCTTCCGACAAAAGTTCTTAAATCTGCTCCGTTTTCTCGTAAACATTCTTGGTTTTAATAATGGCGGTATCGGGCTGTGAAAGCGGAAATGTGAGACTCCGTAAAGGACGTAGTCAGCGGACCAATCGGCTTGCGTTGCTTGCTTTCGACGCACGCCTAGAAAAATGGCTCGACACGCGCAAGGACGCAAGGAGGTGTGAAAAGCGACGCAAGGGACACGCAAGGGGGGCTTGCGTCTGCTCTGAAAACGCAGAAGCATAAATCAGGCTTTAGGCAGCGCGTACAGAGCGACACCGACAGGTGAAGAGAAGCAGTGGACCAAGCTAAAATCTCACCCAAAACAACAACCATCCGCCCGTCTTTCAACCTGAACTACTGTTGGTTCCTCCGGACTGCTCGTTCGCCTCTTTGGACCGGCCAATTGTTAGCGGCACCGAGCCGCCCGTCTCTGCCTGCAGCCACGGAGCCCTGCGTTAAAACTTCCCCGGGTTGCCGCGGTGCGCCTTTCGGCTGGACACATTTCCTCGACCCGACCGCATCGCACCAAGCCCGATGCTTCGCTCGCTCTGTGTCCCTTGCAATTATTTTTGGGGTTTTATTTATATAGGATATATCTTTTCACATTCCGATTCTAATGTCTAACTATTGTGACAAATAAAACGTTCTTTGTTCTTTAAAATAGCGTACTTTTATTGCTATGCTATTATACTGTCATAATGTTATCAGTGGCATGAAATGGTTTGAAAATTGCAATAATATTGCATATCGCAATAAATGTTATATTGTGACAGCCCTAGTGAGCAATACATTACTTTTAATCATTAATTAATTTCGAAGCACAACAATGTGATTAATCCCAGAAAATCATGTGATTAATCGCAATAATAAATTTGTGGCCGAGATTAAGGCAAAAAAATATTTTAGCGTAGTTAACGTACGTTTGTTTACTTCCGGCAAAGCTAGTGAAACGGCTGCTAGCTGCAGTCAGTTACATCAACTCTCCCATCATTTACCGAAGTAAAATAAAACAGAGGCGCAACACACAACGGAGAAGAGTGCAGAGGAATTACTCCAGGTGGGGGGTGAGTGGCCAACGGACCACTTAAAGCACTGCTATGCTAAGCTAGCTGCTATGCTACTTCGATCTCAACATCTAACCAGGCATGAAAACGGGTCAAGGGTGAAAAAGGTGAGAAGGATATTACCCTTCTAGGGCAGGGGGTTTTCAACTGGTTTTGTCCCAGGGACCACCATTCTGAATAGAAAGTAATTTGCGGCCCACTGATGTGCCTGCACGCGCGTGCGTGTTTGTAACCCCCGCCGCCACGCCCCCCCACAGATATTCTTCAGGTGTAGAGACCATGGTGACTGGCTCCGCCCCCTTACTGCCAAAAAGAAGCGCGAAAAGAGCGCGTCGAAAACTCCTTCGAGCGCGAGCAGAGATTCTCCTCGCGAGCAACGAAGTTCACGTTTCGCAAGCGAGCAAATATCTCAAACATCCGCGAGCGAGCAAGTCCGGTTTCGCGCGAGCAAAACCGGACTTTTGCTCGCGGATGTTTGATTTATGCGCGCGCATCAACCTGAATTGCGCTCTCAAATTTTGACAGTGATTTGCCGCCATACACCCCCCCCCCCCCCCCCAAAAAAATAACTCACCGAATCTACACGATTCACGTAGGTCACCTATTTTGGTTTCAAAACGGCGAATTTGGCTGAAAGGTGAGGGATTTTCATGCCTGTCTAACGTTACCCTGCGCGTTACAGTTTGCAGAGGACCACCACTGTGTCCCTAAAAGACCGTGGTTTGAAAACGTCCTGCGAAATGTGGGAAATTTGTTGGCACTTCAAACACAGCCGTTAAATTATGGAGAGTTGAGAGCAAAGTGAACGAGGACAGCAGGAAGAGTTGCTAGTTCAACATGTTCCACCCGGTGGAATTCTGCTTCCAAGAAGATCAAATGTGTGCAGTTTTGTGTTTAAAATAACACTAACAATTTAAAAAAATGTATATGTATAAAATACACTCTTTCTAAAGTGATTACTCCTTACTTTTAAGATTTGTCTTAAAAGAAAAACAAACATTAAAAACAACATTGTAACAACAACATTTGTTAATCGCCATTAATCGAGATTAATGAATTGCAAAATGTGTGATTAATTCGTACATTTTTTCCCCTAATAAATATTCATACATGATGCAGTGTATTTATGATTATATACATATACAGGTGATTACTGACGTCTCTGTCCACGGTGGTGGCAAAGCTGACGGCTTCTTTCTGGCTGCAGTTGACGGCTTTCTGCAGCGTGTAGATGACCTGTTCATATGTGTGCACTTCATCGTTAAACAACATGCAGTAGTAGGTGTCTTCTCTGGCCCTGCGCACGCACACGCACACACACACACACACACAAATAGAGAGTAACACACAGACACAAAGAAAGTGTTATTACATCATAACTTGAGCCTAGTGATTTCAAATCAAGTCTACCACATACTGGCAAATAAAAAAGGCACTCATCACGAACAAATATAATAATGTTGCACACCAGGGGGCGCGCTAGCACGAAGCCAACATGGCGCTAGCATTGCACTAGTAATACTAGGACCTAACTGCTGACAAGTGGCTAAAACAGCCAGAGAGAATTGGTTGTATTTTTAGCTTGCTAGCTAGCCTTTGTGGCTAACCTTCCCATGCCTGCTTGGCCTACTCATGCACAGGCACCTGCGGGCGGTCTAGGCCACAATTTCTTTTCTTTTCTTTTCTAGTTCATATTTACAACCCTGCTGCTTAATGTATATACTGCTCCATGTATATTTCACACTGTACATTTATTTATATATACTCTGCACTTTATCTGCTCTCTTGCACTTCTGGTTAGATGCTAAACTGCATTTCGTTGTCTCAGTACCGGTTCTCTGCAATGACAATAAAGTTGAAGCTAATGTGTGTGTGTGTGTGTGTGTGTGTGTGTGTGTCTGTGTGTGTGCATGCGTACGGTGGCTCCAGCCCTTCAGGTAGTTGGTTCTCCTGATCCCAGGTCAGCATGTCCACAGCGTACTTGAGGAGGATTGAAAAGATGCTGAAACCACGAGCGACCATATCAGCAGGCAGCACAGATACAGGATCCTAGAGGGACAGACAGGACATGTTACACTAAGAGACAGACACAGTAGAGACAGAGAGGACACGTTACACAGAGAAAGAGAGAGTAGAGACAGACAGGCGTCTCTCACCTCCTCTGTGTCTCTGTTGGTTTCGGTAGGCTTGTGTTTCTGGCAGTATGGACCTTTCTTCCAGGCTTCAGCATCTCCACAGTCACAAAAGCCTCCACCACCTGACGTAGTCATCTACAGCACATATATAATAATCCAATAGATTTGGAAACATATAAATATATATATATATATATATATATATTTTGTGTGTGTGCGCTTTACCACTGTGTGTATTTACCCTATACCGATGTTCTTTGTGAATACTCTCCAGGAAACACTTCATGCACAGCACACAGGTCGGATCAGCTGCACACTCCCTAGAAACACACACGGTTAATGCATGGACATAGTATATGTGTGTGTACTACCTGTTTGTGTGTTACCTGTGTGTGTCTGTGTGTTACCTTTGTGTGTGTGTGCGTTACCTGCAGGAGTAGGTGGGCTCTCCCACCTTGAACACGTGTCCACACAGAGGTGATGGCTGGTTGTTCTCCTGAAGGAGAGCCAGGCCTGAGGCCGGCTCCTCACCCAGCAGGAGCCACTCCAAAGGAGCCAGGAGGAGCATCTGAGAGACCAGATCCTCCCTCTGCTCCTCCTTCTGCTCCTCCCTGCTGCTCCCTCCACTGGGCCCCAGGCAAAGGATCCTGGGTACATACACAGCAAGGTGATGGTACACCTCCTGCTGTAGGTTGGCCGACACCAGCCATCGCTGTAGAGGGGGGCAGATTACAGATGTTTCTAACATTAAATAAAATGAATAAACGTAAATGGTAACAATAAATAAAGTAGAGCTGCTTCTCCTGTCCTTTGACTGTTTTACGTCTCAATTCTATGACTTACAATCCCGATTATCAATTTTTTACTGTGCAAGAGTTTCTATTTCACACATGTTTAGACAAAATAGGCTCTAAAGACAGTGATGTTATGCAATTGTTTTTTATACTTTTAAACTTTATTTAAAAGGAAGGGAAACTCTCTCCAACGTCGAAACCGGGATGTTTTGACCATATGCATATTTATATAAAAACACACACAAATGTGTACATACACTTGAGAAGGATTGACGTTTAATTGAAAAGCTTAAACAAGCAGCATTCACAATGACAGCTATGTGTCTTGTTCCTATTTTTAACAAGTTAAAAGGGTCGCCTGTTAAGCCGTAACACCTGCAGTTGCATGAAGCTTTAACACCTGTTGTTACAGATGTTTCCAACGTTACACACATGTTGGCAGTAGGGCGCCTGCAGTCGAGAGCATGAAGCCTGAAACACCCGTGTTGAAGACGTTTCTACCGTGGAATACATGTTAAATAATGCAGATGTTACTTCATAACTCGATGAGTCGGTGTCTGCGCTGATAGTTGGCGCTGACACGGTTGGTGTCACTCATCCAGATGTTTTACAGATCACTGCAAGCATTAGCAAAAGCGTTAGCATTAGCTCAGTGTAGCAGATTAGGAAGAATGCGTTAAGCCGGTGAGAGATCGCGCTGTGACGCAACGGCGCCGTAACAGGTGCGGAGCTCGAGAGCGCGCTTACCAACGCGGTGTCTTTGGCGGAGAAGTTCAGGAACTCAGAACCTAGAAGAAACGGTGGGTCTCTGTCGGACTGGGCCGCCGCCATCTTCCTCCCTCTGCTGTGCTGCTGGACGAAAGAGAACCGGAAACGGAAACCATCAACTGCTGAGGGGGCGTGGCCAAATAATAACAAATATCCACTATCCATCCATCTTCAACCGCTTATCCGGGGTCGGGTCGCGGGGGCAACAGCTCCAGCAGGGGACCCAAACTTCCCTTTCCCGGGCCACATCTACCAGCTGTGACTGGGGGATCCCAAGGCGTTCCCAGGCCAGAGCAGAGATATAATCTCTCCACCTAGTCCTGGGTCTTCCCCGGGGCCTCTTCCTAGCTGGCTGTGCCTGGAACACCTCCCTAGGGAGGCGCCCAGGGGGCATCCTCACCAGATGCCCAAACCACCTCAACTGGCTCCTTTCGACGCAAAGGAGCAGCGGCTCTACTCCGAGCTCCTCGCCAATGGCTGAGCTTCTCACCCGATCCCTAAGGGAGACGCCAGCCACTCTCCTGAGGAAACCCATTTCGGCCGCTTGTACCCGTGACCTAGTTCTTTTGGTCATGACCCATCCTTCATAACTAAAATAAATCCGTACAAATACATGGACATATGTTATTAATGTTGTATTTTGTATCATGATACAAAAACTGTAGCCAAACGAAAAAAAGTTACTACTCTGACATGTAGTAGTAGAGTCAAATGCCCAATGTGGAACTGGGTAACATTAGTACAATAAAACGTACAATAAATATACTTTACTTAGTATTTCGTAGTCTTGTAGTACATAGTTAGTAGATAGTACTTAGTTAATATGTAGTTAGTGTTAAGCCAGAAGAGACGGACCAGCTAGTTAGACTTCAAGAATGTCTTGGAGACATCAAACACATCAGTGTTAGATACCTTTAGTGAAACCTTTAGAATTTATTCTCTCGTACGAGCTCCGGTTGGGAAGTACACTGCTAGTCTTCGTTCTTGTTATGTTGTTGTTTTGCGCAGGCATCTTAACAAATATTACTATATATAATCCACCCACTTTCCTCCAGGGACCGGCCGACGGGGGGGATGGGAGGGAAATAGTTTGTAGGCAGAAAATAGTTAGTTGTGGCTGTAATTAACCTCTTTTGCACTGAAGATATTTTCAAGTGAATAACAAAAGTGCAACCTGTGAAAAAGTTAAAAATATTTTACAATAAAGTGTTTTACACGACAAATCTTTTCAAAACAACCCTTATGTGCAACCTGTGCAAAACAACAAAATTAGATATGTATGTGCGATCTCATTCTTTTGTAAGACGTTGTCATTATTAGTGGCTGCAATGAACCTGCTTTCCACTACAAACCTTTTCATAACAGGGATGCAGACAGATTCAGCCTCTCAATTCATGCTCAATGTTGAGCTTGGATCTGTATCTCGTTTTGTCAGAGACAACTGCAGTCCCTGTACATTTCTCCTTTGTAATATGGGAAGTTCTGAATAAAGTCCATGAAATAAAATAATTCTGAATTTCCAAATGCGACCCACCTGTAATAGCACCGTGACCCACTAGTGGGTGGCTCCCCACAGTCTGCTATCTGCTATAAAGCAACTCAACCATGATCACATGACTTCACATTAGGCTATAAACACCTGACCCCAAATGATAATAAAACAATGTAATACAAAATTTGAGTGAACATATTTAATTGGACTGACTGAAAGGTCAAGATTACATTTCTGATATGAACACTGATACTTTAGACAGGTTACATAAGTTGGTTACATAAGTGCCTTTGAGCAGGAGACGTGAAGTTGTAAATCGTATTTTATCCAAACCAATGGTTGCCCATACAGTCTGTGTTCCAGGAAACTCCACAGAGCCAACACCACTCAGCCCTGCATAGGGGGCACTGCATGTGCATGCATCCGCCTGCAGGGGGCGACATCAAAGGGTCATAAAGTACTTATTAACAGTAGTATATATATAGTATAAGACACTACTGTAATATGAACGGTCTGTGCACAAAGTGTGGTCTCCACTGGCTCCGTTTCCAGGTCCCTAATTTCAGTTAGGATCACTGAAAGGACATGCTGAAATTGTACACAGTTTACACAGAAAGAACCTCATATGTTAAAACAGTTTCCACTATTCCCTCTGCTGTAAGTTAAAATCACACTACTAAATGTTAGATCCCTTAGCAATAAGTCTTTATTTATATAATAAAGAGTTTTATTCTTAAGAAGAAGCTGCCCTTTCTATGCGTCCTAATTTAATCATGCACCGGGGTGAGTTATAACAACGACCAACCTGGTTTACAGCGGAACTCAGAAAGCTACGACTGCAGAAGGATCAGGCATTTAGGAGTGGGGACAAAGACTTGTACACAGAGTCAAAATACAGGTTTAGCAAGGCAGTGAAAGACGCTAATTGACTGGATGTCTGAGAAACTTCAACAACAGCTCTCAGCAAGTGACTCGGTGACTTCGGTCTGGAGAAGCTTTCATCACCTTAAGCCAAGTTTATGCAAGAGCCCCTTGCGTGTCCCTTGCGTGTGTCGACCCATTTTTCTAGCGCACAAGGCTGCGATTGGTCTGCTAACTACATCCTTTACGGAGTCTCACGTTTCCGTTTTCATAGCCCGATACCGCCATTATTAAAACGAAGAATGTTTACGAGAGAACGGATCAGATTGAAGAACTTTTTTCGGAAGAAATGCGTAAATATGACCACGTATACAACCCGCCAATGACGGGTTGTATAAGTGGGTTGGATTCATGGAGGGAGATCGCGGCAAACGCTGGTTTGCCGTTCGAGGGGTGAACAAAGTTGTGGTGGAAAATACGGGACAAATGTGTCCGCGATGAAAAGCAGCAGTGGCGATGCACAGGCCAATAAAGTCTATGATAAATAAACAAACAATTTTAATTTTAAGGTACTTCTCCTCACCTACAAGGCACTTGCTGGTGAGGCACCGTCGTATCTTAAAGAGCTTGTAACACCTTATTGCCCTACAAGGAGCTGCGCTCCATAGATGCTGGTTACTTGTTGTTCCTATGGTTTTAAAAAGTAGGCTGGGGGCCAGAGCCTTCAGTTATCAAGCTCCTCTTTTGTGGAACCAGGTTCCACTTTCAGTCCAGGGGGCAGATTCGGTCAGCTCTTTTAAAGTAAAACTTAAAATGTTCCTCTGTGATTGTGCCTATAGTTAGGGCTGGCTCAGGTTAGCCCGGACCAGCCCTTAGTTAAGCTGCTATAGGCTTAGACTGGCGGGGGAATTCTTAGGACACACCGAGCTACTCTCTCACGCTCTCGTTCTACCATAATTCACGTTTTATTAATGCACATGACTAATTCAGATTCTTTCCGGGAGGTTTTTGTGCTTTCTCCTCTAGCAGGTCTCCGTAGATCGTGGTTCCTTCGGGACCCTGGTCCTGACACCTGCCGTGGCCCTGCTGACGCCTGCTGCTGCCATCATCATCATCGTCATTATTATTTTAGATATTAATCATATTACTGTACTCGTAAACCAACATTACCCTCTCCTAAAGTCTCTGTGCTCTCCCTCCCCACAGGCTTATGTGGATGGTGGTTCTATGTGATGGTGGTTCTATGTGATGGTGGTTCTATCTGATGGTGGTTGTCCCTGCTGTACACCTGCTTACTACTTGCAATTATTTGACTCATTTCTGTTATAGGAACTGAATGTATTAAACATATTTTACATTGTTCATTCTGTACACATGGCGTCATTGTAGTCTGTCCATCAGGAGACGGATCCTCCTCTGACGCCCTCACTGAGGTTTCTTCCCTTTTTTCCACATGGAAGGGGTTTTTCGTTTGTTGGGGAGTTTTTCCTGTGCCGATGGGTTTCAGGACAGAGGATGTCGTATGTGTACAGACTGTAAAGCCCTCTGATGCAAATTTGTAATTTGCAATTTTGGGCTATACAAAACAAAATGAATTGAAATTGAATTAAACTGTGGAACTCCTTTCACTGCAATTTGAGATTTGAGGCAAATTCAGTGTCATCTCTTCAAAGTTATTATCTTATTGACGAGAGAAGAACCATGATGTTCACAGTAGAAACAGGAGGTCAATCTGAGCTACTGTTCAGTTTAAACCAGTTTGATGTGTTACCGTCTCTCTCCACAGGAACCGAGCACTGAGGACAGCGTTTAGTCGTCTCCTGCAGGAGGAGCAAGGAGGCTTGATCCCACCTCCCTTTGACAGACGCCTCCTCCTCCACCACGAAGCCCTGAGGAGGAGAAGCAGGAGGTATTCTAATGTATCCATATATTGGCTTTGTTTTCTGTACAGATGTAGAACTCAATCTGGAACAAGTCAACCTAGGTATATATAGTCTCCTCTGATTGGTCAGCTCACCTGGGAGGATTCCGCTATGGGTGGGGCCTGTTCAGTGAGACATGCCCCCTCATGGTACCCCTCCCTGCAACATTTGCAGAAGACAAAGCCACAGCCGAGATGTCTGTCACACGTCACCCTCCTGCTGTCATCAGGTGGGATAAGCCCCGCTCCACAGCCAGGTGACGGACACATCAGTCCTCCATTCATAAGAAGACACTCCTCCGCCCCGTACTTTTGGTAACGCCCATACTGAGAAACACAACAGACCTCAAGTCAATCTTTTTCCACGGTTACATTGCTTACTTCACATACAGTGTAAACTTCAAGCAAAGCTAACTGTAGCAGAAAGCATAAAAGAGGAGGAAGAAGAAGAGAGGAGGAAGATGAAGAAGAGAGGATGAAAGGAGGAGCAGACACTCACCTGATCGTCCCCGAGAATCCTGAAATGATGCAACTCTTTAATGAGAGAGTCAGCGCAGCCGGCTGGAAACACAAATATCACATGTTATTTATAATCAATGACTTATTGTATTGATGACACATTGAGTCAGTGAGTCTCACCAGCACATGGCAGCGAGTAACCAATCACAGGGTGAGAAAAAAAACGTCTGTCATTGAGACGAGTCTGACAGTAACGATGGAAACAGTGGAGACAGATCACATGACGCTCTGCACACTGGAATACCAGGACCAGCTCCCTGAGAGACAGACAGGAAGGGAGGATGACCGGAAGGGAGAGACAGGTTTATTTTCTGCAGAAAATAAAGATCAAATTGTGTGCATACAGTGTGTGTGTGTTACTTGGTTTGTGTGTGAGTGTATTACGTGGTGTCGGAGCAGGCCATACAGGGGACCTCCCGGCTGTTGGTCATAATGAGGTCGAGGGCCACAGACACTTCGTCCTCTGGCGTTGGATGGGACGCACACTTCATGTAAAACTCCTGCGCGTGCGCACACACACACACTACATGTCCCAGGATGCCACTGGATGAATTGAGCACACACTACACTGACAGCTCCTTACCGCTTCGTTGCCGACACAAGCGTCTGATTGACAGAAGCCGTGAACACGACCTGGGAGGAGGACATCGTCCCAACAGGACGGACCCTGAGACAGAGGACAAAGCTGTGACATCTTCATTATCATCAGTACAATCCACATCATCATCATCCATTGATAAAATATTAAATATATATACATGTATGGAGATGACATCATGTTGTTTTTATTGAATGCACTTTTGTTAGAAGAATTCTCTCTCGACACCGGTGTAAAATCATAAAAACAGGATATTTAATGTTTGCAAAATGGAGACAGAGTCGACACACATACAAGTCACGCCCCAAGCCTACTCAAAGGTTTTCTTTTCCAGCACCCACATATAGACTTGGATAAGGTATCATAAACAGCGAGGTTTTGCGCATGCACAAGGATTGTCATGTTTGTTATCCTGAGACCTACATGTGATCATGGTGAGACACTGAGTGGCCTTCTGGACACTGGACATACATGTCACACAGTCATCTTATCTCAGCTTTCATGTCATACACACAACTTATTGTACAAACGATACAGACGTGGTCGTGTGTTGTTTTGTCCAAACCTCCCTTCTTATCATGACATGACATTATTGTACGAAGATGACATTGTGAATGTATTTACCCTGCTGAGGGTGAATGTTGTTTCTCTGCAGCTGCTGCAACACACCCTGAGCTTGCCGGGTTGGATTGACTTACATCTCTTACAGTACACAAAGAAAGTACTGCAGGTACGCACACCTGTCGACACAAGTACACACAGTCAAAGTACTTCAATAGGGACTAGGACAGGAGTACTGCAGGAGTTTGGAGTACTGCACAGTAATACTGTTACCTCACATATACTGACATAGTACTAAAGTATTGAATACTAGTATAGTACTGACATAGTACTAGAGTACTGAATACTACTGGAGTACCAAAAACTAGTAGAGTACTGGCATACTATTGGAGTACGCGCATACTAGTGGACTACTGAATAGAGTACAGTTATGCTACTAAAGTACTAAAAGAATACCGACACTGTGGCCTCCTTAACTCACCTTTCAAACTGGCAGCCTGCACCTGCTCTCTGTCACCTCCTTCTGCTCCTTCCCCTCCTCCACCATTACTCCCGTCCAGGCCGGGGGGGGTGCAGGGGAAGCGTGACGAGCTGATATCTAACCTGGCCAAACTATTCCCCTCCTCCTGACCTCCTCCAGCCAGGCGCTCCCGCAGGAGGAGCAGATGTCCGGGGGTTGGGGCCGACTTAGGGAGGACCACATGGACAGTGCTCTGCTCCGGGAGGTCACAACCCTGAGAGGAGGAGGAGATGATAATATAGCAGGTAGCAAAGAGCATGTGAGCAATGGCTCCTCACCTGCAGTGTGAAGCTGCTCTTTAGCTCTCTTCCAGCAAACAGCACCCTAAGGAGCTCAGCGTGGACCCCCTGCTGACTCCCCACCAGCTGCTGAAGGTCCGCCACGCTGGCCTCCTCCTGCAGCTCCACGGGGACGCAGGGCCCCAGGTTGTACCTCACGTATACTGAGGGAGTACAAGTAAACAACACTTATACCTCAGGTACACTAAAGAAGTACAATACTTACACTTCAAGTACAACAGAGAAGTTAACACATTTCTATACCTCAAGTACACTATGGTGGTTCAAACACTTATAACTTATGTACACTAAAGAACTTTGCAAATACTTATGCCTCAGGGAACACTAAGGGAGTACAAATACTTCCTCACGTTCACTGAAAAGAAGTATTCAAGTTATACGACAAGGAGACTGCAGGGAAACGAGTCATACTATTACGTCACATACAATAACAATACAAGTCATTCTTTAACTCACGTAGAACTACACTAACGAAAAACGAATCCTACGTATACCTCACATACACTATACTTGTAGTGTATGTGAGGTATAAGTATACTTGTGGCAGATTCGAGGCAGGGCTCACTTATCATCAGCCGATTTGTCGTTCAGTCGCCATTTGAGTTTCGTCAATCGCGGTGCACTCTGTGTAATGTAGTCCTACTGCATTCACGTACAAGCTGCAAACCTGCAATAGAACTACAGCACAGTTGCGGGGAAATTACGCCGTGAATTAGCATCGGAAGTGCATCCTATACATGAACTTAAGTAGATGGTTCTCGGTGTTTTTGTGTATCTGTAGCTGTAACTGTAGTTGCGTCTCAAAGTCGCTAGTCTGCATCCTTAAGGACGCATTTGTCGACCGCATACGTCACTTCCGCAGCGACTCGGCTGAGACTCGCCTGTCCCAAACCGTCGGCTCCTCCGAACGCGGTCGAGGGACGCAGTCCTCCAGGAGACGCATCTGATCTGTCCTTTGCTGCCCAGCATATCCCAGCATGCAGTGCGGGCCGAGGATTTAATTTCTTCAGGACGGAGGCGGGTGATGCGACCAAATGTAACGTTAATAGAATTCACTCCATTATCTACCGATAGAAATGTATATAACATCACATCTTAGTTAATGAAATCACTTAAGTTACGTGACGTTGGTGACCGATGTCGTGTTTTTATATTCACATAAGACTTTAGAACAAACTGCACTTAGTAATAACTTAACTCCGTCCTGCTGCCCCCCATACAGCCCCTGAGCCAGACCCTCACCTGAACCCCCCCGGGTCCGTGTTACTGTTAGTTATGAGTTACTTATGAGCATCAATGTACTACACACATTTATAACAAACACACATTTACAACAAACACACATTTATAACAAACACACAACGACCAGCTCACGTTGCCGGGAGCCGTACTCGCTTTGCTCCTTTAGTTGTGTGGCGTGAATATAAACTAACGTTAACTTTACATTTAGTGGAGGTGACGCTGATGACGCAAGCAGAAAGTCCCCCCCGTAGGCCAGACCCGTTTCAGAGACCGCTCGGTTCAGCCTATGCGGTTGTTGGAGGACGCAGCCCAGGTCTACCGCAAAGGCTGCTGAAGGCTGCAGGCTACAAGGATGCAGCCTAGTGACTTTGATACACCACTTTTGTGCATACATGAGGAGCAGCTGATCATGTATATTCATTATTACTGAATAAACATGACTAATGAAGGTCAGTGATATCATCAGTCAGCTAATTTATTGATTGAATGCCAAAAAAAACGTTGAACGACCAATGCACAGATGTGTGTAAATAAAATATATAAACACATGTTCATGGTTATTTAACGAACACCAGAGGGCAGTAAAACGCAGCGTCTCGCCTGCGCAACCAGAGAAGAAGTAGGAGATGTGTTTTGTTTCTGGCGGAAGCAGAAGAAGAAGTGTCCTTATTATCGCGGTCCGTTAACGTCAGTGTACATTTAATCAATAAGTGTGTTGATGAATCAATAAATCATTACGTCGGTTAATCACGTGTTCATAGGGACTGACCTGACGTCAGAAGGTAAGATGGACTCGGGTTGAACTCTTTATTCTGTCAGTTAGCATTAGCTGCTTCCTGTTTGCGTTCGCTCTAAACAAACTGAAACTCTTCATGCTAACAGTCGTTGCCCAAACAATACGTTTGTCCGGTAAAGTTACCGTACCGGATAAACGGTAACTTTACCGGACAAACTGGCCATTTGTTCCTCAAAGAACGAAGAATCACGCTAATAACTACAGACAGATTAGCTTATGCTAAGCTAAATTGAAACTGAAGACCTGTGACTTGATGCTCTGGACAGTTCAGTATACAACACTCATGAGTATAAAACGGTATAACTTACACAGTATAACACTAAATGAGAAGATAGGATACCACAATATATGCATAGTATATAAGACTATATATAATCTTTAGTATAATAACGGTATGTAGAGCAGCTACATAGTTGTATGTGAGACCATATTTAACGGTATTCATGTAGGTTAGCAGATGCATACTACTAAAAATATAATGTACACTATGTAAAGTATCTGTATGTTGAGTATTTAAGAGTACATATGTATATGAGCATATAACACTACATAGTATATAACAGCATAGATGTTGAGTACATCACAGTATGTATGAAGTGTATTTAACGGTGTAGAGTGTATACAAGTATAGATAGTGTATAACAGTGTATATAGATAGTATATTACAGTATATGGCTTATACAGCTTTGTAACCCTTTCCAGACTGATGCATGTCAATTACTCTGTTTCTCATTTGTTCTTCTTCAGATCAAATCATGTGTTGCTTTTTGATATATGTCTTCTTCTACTGGAGTGATTTATTGATGTATTAGGTCTGGCAGAAATCAGGCCTGGCTGTGGCTACTGAAAACTAGATGTGGTTAATCACAGTTCATCCATGATCTATTAATGGGGGAGAAACCAGTTATTAGGCTGAGGGGGAAATTACTTTTTCACATAGGGCCAGGGAGTTTTTTTCCCTTAATAAATTAAATGATCAGAATGCAGTTTGTATTTACTCAAGTTTAACTTTGTTAGTTTTTAGCTTTAGCAAAAAAATAAGAATCCATGAAGGGTGATCTGTATGTAGAGTATGTAACGGTTGATATGGAAGGAAGTATTTAACAGTAAAATGTAGAATCTATAACACTATAAATAGTATACTTACATAGTAAATAACTATATATATATATATATATATATATATATATGTGTTGACTATATATAGATTATGGAACACTGTATGTAGAGTATATAATGGTATACTGTGTATGGTATAGAACAATATATGACCATAATTTATCATTGGCAGATGTACTACTATCGATATGAGAGTGCTGAGGTGAGCTGCTGCTACAAATACCTCATGTTCAGCTACAACATCATCTTTTGGGTGAGTCACATGTATGCACCTGATGCCTGTACAGATTATTCAATTCAATCAGTTTTATTTTGCATGGGAAGCTTATGTTCCTGATAACTTGCCTACTCAGCATCACAACCTGATTAGGCAGATCGTGAAACGCTTTTCAATATCATTTCATTTTCATTCCGCTACTATAAACCTAAACTAGCCCTAACTATTAGTATTATCAAAAAGAAAAATGTCTACTTACTCTTTAATAAGGGGAGTGTTAAGGCCGCCGCGTGTTTCTGCGTCTTTACGCGTCGACGCACTGGTTTCACTTCCTGGTTGTAAAGTCCTGCGTGTGTTGCAGAGCGATTCACCTCCAGAACAACAGGTGGAGTCACGTGTTTTGTTGAAGACGACCTGGAGAGTCACGTCTTTGTGTGTGGAAGTCGCTGGTTGCTTTATTTATTGATCATAGACTTTATTGCCCCGTGTATCCACACTGCTGCTTTTCATCAAGGACACATTTGTCCTGTATTTTCCTCCACGACTTTGTTCCCCTCGTTTGTGGAGATCTCCCTCCATGAATCAGAGGCCATCCGGCGTCCTCATAGTCCGCCAATGACGGCTTGTACAAGCGCTCATATTTAAAAGCTCTTCAATCTGATCCGTTCTCTCGTAAGCGTCCTTCCTTTTAATAACGGCCGTATTGTGCTGTGAAAACGGAGACGTGAGACTCCGTAAAGGACGTAGTCAGAGACCAATCACAGCCTGGTGCTGCAGGAGGCTGCGTCGCTTTTGACGCTAGTCTAGAAAAATGGGTCGACGCACGCAAGGAGGTGTGAAAAGACACGCGAGGGACACACGAGGGACACGCAAGGGGGTCTTGAGTCTGCGTCGCTCTGAAAACGCAGAAGCATAAACTAGGGGTTAGGGACTGAAAGACGAGTTTCATACAGAGATTGAGATATTGAACTAATGCTGTGTTTACACCAAAACACTTTACTCGCGCGTCTAGTTGTAGTTATTTTGTTTCATTTGCGCCTGAAAGGGGGCGTGGCTTATCGCTGTAGCTTGTGTCCGTAAAGACAGTTATAATAATTTCTGCTATCCAGCATGGATCCGCCTGAAGCTGCCAGCGCTGCTTCAGGCGGACCAGCAGCCGGTCTGATGACCTGTTGTGTCGGCTCGGTGCCAGTGTGGCACCCAGTGGCAGCAGGATGGCTGTGATGACGAGGCAGGAAGGCAGAGTTTTAAACTAGAGCACCAGGGCTGGTGTCTCTAGTTAACACTCTCCGGGAACCTGCCATTAAAGAGACACACACACACCTGCAAACACGCACACACGTTCTTATCTACAGCAAGTTGTAAATCGGCTTATTTGATGAAATCACACTTTCTTGTTACTTGTTCTCCTGAGTTTGTTTCCTTATGGTTAAAATGTACTTATTGTAAGTCCTTTTGATAAAAGTGTCAGATAAATGACATGTAATGGAATGTGCAGAGATCTAAACCCTTCTCTGAGTGAGAAGCCACAAAGTGCTCCACAGTCTCCATTCTGAGTGTGCCTGAAAGCAATATGAGGAACCGCCGAGTCCGGTACACAGCGAAATAAATACCATACACCAGAACCAGGTTGAGGTTGTGATTAAAACAATGAGTAGGTTTCTGTACACTTGAATCCATCAATGAAAAAAATGCTGTTGCAAGGCTGTCGCCATCGACATTCACGCAAATATTAAAATCAGCCACAATAATTACTTAGATCTATGGTGCTCTCGGTGAGGCAGTGGTTAATAAGCCTTTCGGTGTTGTTTTATCTTGCACGCTTTCAAATGTCCACATGCAGTTACATTTCCTGAAACTGAGCGTTTTCCTGTCTGCCTCTCAGCTGACAGGATGTAGAGACTTCCTGTGTGGTTGATGGAGTCCGGAAAGGCTTTTATCAACCTTGATTATTGGATCTTTTATCAGACAATTTAGTGTTATCAGCTCTATTGTCCATCCATCCATCCATCCATCTTCAACCGCTTATCCAGGGTCGGGTCGCGGGTGTAACAGCTCCAGCAGGAGACCCCAAACTTCCCTTTCCCGGGCCACATCTACCAGCTCTGACAGGGGGATCCCAAGGCGTTTGGGCATCCTTACCAGATGCCCAAATCACTTCAACTGGCTCCTTTCAATGCAAAGGAGCAGCGGCTCTACTCCGAGCTCATTCTTCAACATTCTTCGTTTTAATAATGTTGGTATTTTGCTGTGAAAACGGAAATGTGAGACTCCGTAAAGGACGTAGTTAGCGGACCAATCACAGCCTTGTGCGCTGCAGGAGGCTGCGTAGCTTTTGACCCTAGTCTAGAAAAATGGGTCGACGCACGCAAGGAGGTGTGAAAACACACGCAAAGGTGTCTTGCGTCTGCGTGTCCTTGCGTCTCTCTGAAAACGCAGAAGCATAAACTAGGCTTGAGTAGTGTGATGCCCCCCTACACACTCTCTGGTCCCCCTTTTTGAAGAGAGGTACCACCACCCCTTTTGGCACTTCCACGCAATGTTGAAGAGGCGTGTCATCCATGGCAGCCCCCCAGCACCCAACCGCTCTATTGGACCCGACTAATTACTGGTGTGTCTTCTTGTTGCAGCTGGCTGGTGTTGCCTTCATCGCAGTTGGTTTCTGGGCGTGGAGTGAAAAGGTGAGGAAACACACATTCATGGGACAAATAAAAAAATAAATAAAACCGCATATTTCTCTTAATTCAGTGTTTCAAGGGGGGGCTCCCCCCCAAAAACCGACTGAAACTAAAAGAAATACGGACTCGTGAGCACATAGGACACGGGTAGAGAACGGGTAGAGAACGACTACTTTATATAATATATATATATATACCGGTATATATATACCGGTATATAACCGTAACAACTGATATTGCTCTTTGGCAGGCAGCAGACTTTATTTTGATATCTCACTGCTAGTGTTGCACGGTGTACCGGTACTAGAAAGGTGCCGCGGTACTCTTACGTTGAAAACAATACGGTTTTGAATATTTTTAGTACCGGTACTTTAAAAAAAGCAGCAATTGGAGCGCACTCACTGTTCCGCTCCGTGTCAGGCTGCCTGCACACATCGACTGGGCAGCTCTCACACATGTTATCAGGGGAGACGCGCCCTCACGTAGCAGACTGCTCACCCACATACAGCCTAACACCATTAGCCTTAGCCTAGCTTAGCTCGGGTGACCACACGTCCTACCCGGGCGCGGGGGGTGTAAGTTATCGGGTTACAGATGCGCCGTTTACCGTCGGCGAGGTTGGAGATGAACCAGCGCGGGATTTTAGCGTAATAAATTGGATGTGTGGCGTGAGTGCGTGTGAAAACATGCAAACACGCGTGTCACACGGGGAAAACGTGAGAGTTGGCAGCCTGTAGCTTTGTTGGCTAGCTTGACAACAACTTTCCTAACACAGTCAAACATCAAGCAACACAAGACAAAGCAAGACCGCAAATAAGTTCCTGAATAGTCTAGCAGAAATTTATACAGCAAAATAACCTACAATTTGACTCATGTGGGCCGATATGATCATGGGGTCATCACACTTGATGCAACAGGCTACATGCTGGTGGAGCCTGAGGGTGCGTCTCTTTTTATTTTTCGTTAAGAAAATATGAATGTGAGAATATCAAACTATATGCAAGTAAATTAAGCATCGTTTATCCCACAGACAGTCAAACAGATGCCAGGTAAAAAAGGGAAACTTAGTTTTTTATTTATTACTATTATAGATAAATATTCCAGTTTCGTATTTGTGGTATCGTATCGTAAGTATCGGGTACCGTAATATTTTGGCAGGTATGGTATTGAAGTCATAATGTTGGTATCGTGACAATCCTACTCACTGCCGGGTGCAGAGCGGTCCGCCTGCTGTTGTCACACTGTACATTTGACTGCTACAGAAGCGTAGGAGCTACTTACGGTTCAATTGTAGTGTGTAATTAATCTTGCTCACCGTGTTCTTCTGTTTGTTTTAGTTTTACTCCTATTTGATTTGTGTACTTTGGTGCTACACAATAAAGCATCTTAGACGCTATGTCCTGACTCCCGTATTCATTTAAATACACACAAGAAGAGCAGTACACAGTGTTTACAACTTGGACCAACAGGGGAAGGGGGGTAGTAGTCTGTCCGCTGGTACCAGCGCCCCATGCGCACATACACAGACACATTTTTTTATTTATATTTTTGAAGGTCATGGCAAGCAAAGGAACTTGAGAAGCCACCGGCTTTTTACATGTCGCAAGGAGAAAACACAAGTTGTATGGAACAGAGTGACGACATGCAGACTCACGCAGCATTCTGAAGTACAACATCAGCACCTGTGAAAGGTTCTCTCTTGGTCATATTGTTCAGAAGAAGAGAAGTTCTTCATCGTCTGAAATGTAAATGACCTTGTGTGTCTAACTAGCTGGGTGCAGGAGTAAGACAATGTAAAGTTGGAGGAACGGATAAAAAAGTGGACGTTGAAAGTTAATTTAGTCATTGTGTATCTGCTCAACCTGAAGTGATTCTTTTTTCTTTCTTCATGACCAAGATGGCGGAGCGTGCACAATGAGAGGCTCAGTGTGTCTCCAGGTTTACTTAGTAATTATCTGCCTAACTATCTCAAGTCTGTTCTCTTGGAAAAGTCTTTCATTCACTTCGTACAACCGACAACAACTTTTGGTCATTGGTCATCACTTGGTACACTATCTTTTTTAGAATTTTGTACATAATGCGATTAATCACAGAAAAATCATGCTTTTTTCATCTCTGCTCAGCACTAATATATATATATATATGCCTGTGTGTGGTGGATTTCAGGGGGTCCTGTTGGATCTGACGCAGGTAACCCAGCTGCATGGTTTTGATCCGGTCTGGTTGGTCCTGGTCGTTGGTGGCGTCACATTCATCCTGGGCTTTGCCGGATGTGTGGGAGCTCTGAGAGAAAACATCTGTCTTCTAAAGTTTGTACGTTAAAAACATCCGTCTTCTAAAGTATATCGATTAGAAACATGTCTCCTCAGTTTCTTTTGGGGGTTTTTAAGTTCTAGTGTTTTTCTTTTCAGGTGTTCTCCATCTACGTATTTTTCTCAACGTTCCAGTTGTTTTCTTTTTGTTCTTCTCAGTTCTCTGGTGTGATCGGCTTCATCTTCTTGTTGGAGCTGACGGCTGCGGTTCTGGCCGTGGTGTTTCAGAGTCAGGTCCGAGAATGGATCAACGACTTCTTCTTAGCCAATGTTAAAGGTTACAGAGACGACATCGACCTGCAGAACCTCATCGACTCTCTGCAGAGGATGGTAACATATCCCCCAGAACATGAACAGAACCTTTAGTATGTTTCTCCACTATTAGAACCTTTATCATCTTCCTCCACAAACAGAACCTTTACATCTTCTACTAACAGAACCTTTATCATCTACTTCTACTATCAGAATTGTGAGTATGTTCCTCTTTAACAGAATCACTGCTGTGGAGCTCAGGGACCAAACGACTGGAATCAAAATGTTTATTTTAGCTGTAACGGAACCCATCGCAGCAGAGAGAAGTGTGGAGTTCCTTTCTCCTGCTGCATCACAGATCCTGCTGTGAGTTTGTCGCCGATGACTACTGATTAATATCGATAATAATAATTGATTCAGCCTCATAGAATGAAAGTAATTGTGTTTGTTTTAGGACTCTGTGCTGAACAGTCAGTGTGGATACGACGTGAGAAATCGGCCAACGGTGAGGTCACTCCCTGTTCTTTCAATGTGGCTTCCTGTTTATAGAGGTGAAGGCCCGCCTCCCTGTCACTGTGACGAGGAGGATGTGAGGAAGATGACCTGATGTAAGCTGACTGGTCTACGTTTGTCAGAAACATGTTATACATTGCTGATAGAGAGAATTCTCCAAACTGCTCTGAGTGCTCATAAAGAGAACCATGTGATCACAGCAAAGTATAGAACAGAAGTTACCTGCTGGGCCGCAGCCCGGATCCGGATCCAGAAGTCATGCCATCCGGACCCGGTCCTTAAGCTAAAACAGACAGTTGTGATTTTAAACCTGATGCAGCTTTGGTGGTCTGCAGTATTTTAGACTAGTAGCATTTGTGTTACGCCATCCCATGTGATACCACTCGACCAATGGAATCTTTGCATTCCAGGCAGGGAGATATCGTCTCAGAGATGGCTAAATTTAAGAAGACGAGTGAGGGGGAGAAAGGGAGAGAAAGGGATGTGTGAGAGAAATAAGGAACAAATGGCTCTCTGCAAAAAGATAGCGGACAGCGAAAGTAGAATGAATGGACACGTTTCTGTTCATACTTCACCCTGGATCACTAAACCAGAGTCTCATATGCTTAGAACCCGAAGCACCTATTCAAAGTGTCGATGTGAAACGCCATTATGAAGCACAATGAGCATCTCCTCACGAGGAGGGGGACGGCACTGCATCCACGTCCAGGTTTAAAATGTTGGCAGGACAAACTAGAGCTGAATTCTTAAGTGGGGGGTGGAGATTATATATATGTGTATATATATATATATATATATATATATATATATATATTCTATATTCTATAACACTGTTCAATAGTTCAAATGTATTTTAGAGTCACTTTTTTTTTATTGAAGCACTTTATTTATTTTCTCTTATTTTGAAATGCAGCCCTACTTTTATTTATTAATTGAGAGAACATTATTTATATTTGCAGTCATACATATATGTTCAATTCTTTGTTATGTGATTAGGTGCAGATCTTGCTAGAACTCTATCCCTCTATTTAATCACCCTAAATAGTTACATTATGCTTTTCGGGACATTTGCTTCTAGAAATGTTCTCTAACTGGAGCTATTTACATTTCAGTTGAATACCCCTGGTATAGAACATTAGAACCAGATAAATTAACATGAATCTATTTCATGACCACCATAAACACCTACAGGAGGAGCACCCTATGTCATGTCTGGTGGAACGGATGTCTGGTTATACAGAACCAGAACTTTTCTGTACAAATAAAGCCGTAGCTGAATACAAGTTGAATACTAGTGTTCACTAGCCAGCATGGTGTAAACCTCTCCTGGTTCCTGAGGGAGCGCTTCTGTAATGTTCTTCTGTTCCTGCACAGAGTGAGTGGACTGAGCATATCTACACCAAAGGCTGCATTGCTGCACTGGAGGATTGGTTACCTGGCAACCTCTACACGGTAGCCATAGTCTTCATCGTCATCTCTCTTCTGCAGGTCACTACCCAGTAATTCTTTAATTAGCTGTACAACACACACACAACACAAAACACACACAACACACACAGTACTACACACATTTTATGTGTTTATTATGGTTTCCACTGGTTACCACTGGAGTGCTGTACCTGATGTTTCTGTTTACCTGGGATCAGATGGTGGGGATCTACCTGGCCAGGACTCTGATCTCGGACATCGAGAAGGTCAATTTCAGCTACTGAAGCCACACCCACAGAGGGTGGAGCTTCTTTCAGAGGAGGCGTGGCCTCTGCCAGGTGGACCAAATTTCTTCAGATGTGCCTTCTTCTTCAGTAACTTTGCTGTACCTCCCTTTACTTCCTGTCATCAGTTTGAGGATCTCATGATGACTTTGTTGCTATGGTTACTGAAAACATGCTGCTGAATATGCATAAATCTTTCTTTGGGCCTTTTTTATGTTGCTGTGTCTTCATCTGTTCGATGATGAAACTCTTCACCACACTGCCTTCAGTTCCTCTATCATGCTCTGTGCGTCCTTCATCATCGTCATCTTCTTCAGGTTGAACTCAGGTCTTTTGTAAGTTCTGAAATTATTCAGTTTACTGTGATTTACAGGGCAATAGGACCGATGTGTGATTGTTAAATGACTGCAATTATTAATTGATGCTCAAAATGTTCAAAAGAAAAGGAGTAGAAGGGGAGTTAGACTAAAATGATTTGACACGCAGACTGCTCCCTAGTTAGCTAGCATGCTAAGTCTGCTTCAATGCTAACGCTTTACCAGTGACCCCCCCCCAGTCAAACAAACTGTTCTGTGAAGTCCCGTCACCACAACAACCAGTGAACCGGTCTGTTCTACTCCTCTTCTATTTCTACGTACTGACCACTGAGCCGCAGAAACCACAGAAGATGAATGGGAACTAAATGTCATGTGATCACATATTTGATTGAATATGAAGACTTTTTGGATCCGGGAGGTTTGAGTGAATTATGTTTTTGTTAAAATATTTTGTATGAATAAGAAGATTTTGAACCGACGGGAATAAACCGGAGAAGATTTTGAGTTTGTTGGGACTTTCTGCTTCAACTGATTTCATATTTTCTGTTGATGAATTATTATTATGAATTCATTGAGGTTTTTGTCTCATTTTTAATCTGATTGGATTTTATATAGTGAAATTTTTATGGCTTTTTATATTCACCTAAATAAAACTGAAGTTTGGTCACAGTGTTTCCCTTTGTATTTGTCCCTTTGAACACATTAAGATGAGTACATGTATGTAAAACCTTTGTGTTGAATTGATCACGATTGATTACAGACTAACATTTATAAAAGAAGGGGTATCACACCACTCAGCCTCCCTGGTGAAGTCTACTCCAAGCTGCTGGAAAGGAGGGTTCGGCCGATAGTCGAACCAAGGATTGAAGAGGAAGAATGCGGTTTTCGTCCTGGTCGTGGAACGACGGAACACCTCTTTACTCTTTCCAGGATCATGGAGCGGGCCTGGGAGTACGCTCATCTACATGTGTTTTGTGGACCTGGAGAAGACGCATGACCTCTAAATCTGAGGCCATGGTTCTCAGCAGGAAACCGATGGATTGCCTACTCCAGGTAGGGAATGTGTCCTTACCCCAAGTGAAGGAGTTCAAGTACCTCGGGGTCTTGTTCACAAGTGAGGGGAAGATGGAGTGTGAGTTTGGATGGAGAATCGGAGCAGCGGGGGCGGTATTGCACTCGCTTTACCGCTGTGACGAAAAGAGAGATGACCCGGAAGACAAAGCTCTCGATCTACAGGTCAAAGATGCTGGTGGGTTCAAACTCAAGACCTTCATAGACGCCACAGGGCTAACCACCACACCAACCCGCACCACCTAACACCAGCATGCCGCCTGGTGAGTCGATAGTTTTGGTGTTCTTATAAACATTCAATGGTTTCAGTCGTCACATAAACAGTCAGTGGTTTCAATGGTAGCTTGTTTTCCTGCTCATCAATAAAAGCATAAGAAGCAAGCTGATGTCCCAAGCTTCATTAGCGAGAGTCACTATACATAAATCTAAATATTCATATGCGTGAACCCTAACCCTCCTTTTTCTAACCAGTCATTGATGCTGCTGATCGCCTCCCAGCGGCGCTGCAGCTCAACATCTACAGTGAAAACACTGAAACTTGACCTTCCTCGATCCTCTCCCCCCTCCCCCCTTTCGCTCCCTCCATCTCCGGGGGAGGCGGAGTCGGAAACGCGCAGCAGCATCGGTCCTTCGTGTCTGCGGCTCCTCTCGCTTCGGCTGTCGGTTCGGTTCCTGTCCGAGCGGGTTCTTCTTACAGTCTGCAGGAACGCGGAGGCTCTTCGGCCCAACTGACGGACGCAGCTGGCAGCACCGCGGGTTTAACCCCCAAACTGCTGCGCTTATCGCCTCTGAGGTGGAAAGCCCCGGACGGAGGCCCGCAGCGCGCTCCGCCTCCCGCAGGCCTCCGGCCCGGACTCCCGCTTTTACCCAGGAAAATGGACGGATTTACCGGCAGTTTGGGTGAGTCCCCCCCACCGCTCGCGCACCAAAGACCACTTAGCACCCGCCCACGCTGCTATGGCACCATAAGAGCCCCACGCGCCTCTGGCGCCTTTACACGTGTCACTGCTGTATATATCAGAGACTCAGCACCGCCCCTCCGGGTGCTACAGTGCCACAAAACCAGCAGCTCCTCCAAAAGATCTAGACCTGGGTCTGTGGGAGACCTGCAGAGATAGAGACCTGGGTCTGTGGGAGACCTGCAGAGATAAAGACCTGGGTCTGTGGGAGACCTGCAGAGATAGAGACCTGGGTCTGTGGGAGACCTGCAGAGATAGAGACCTGGGTCTGTGGGAGACCTGCAGAGATAGAGACCTGGGTCTGTGGGAGACCTGCAGAGATAGAGACCTGGGTCTGTGGGAGACCTGCAGAGATAGAGACCTGGGTCTGTGGGAGACCTGCAGAGATAGAGACCTGGGTCTGTGGGAGACCTGCAGAGATAGAGACCTGGGTCTGTGGGAGACCTGCAGAGATAGAGACCTGGGTCTGTGGGAGACCTGCAGAGATAGAGACCTGGGTCTGTGGGAGACCTGCAGAGATAGAGACCTGGGTCTGTTGGAGACCTGCAGAGATAAAGACCTGGGTCCGTTAGAGACCTGCAGAGGTATAGACCTGGGTCCGTTAGAGACCTGCAGAGGTATAGACCTGGGTCCGTTAGAGACCTGCAGAGGTATAGACCTGGGTCCGTTAGAGACCTGCAGAGGTATAGACCTGGGTCCGTTAGAGACCTGCAGAGGTATAGACCTGGGTCTGTGGGAGACCTGCAGAGATAGAGACCTGGGTCTGTTGGAGACCTGCAGAGATAAAGACCTGGGTCCGTTAGAGACCTGCAGAGGTATAGACCTGGGTCTGCCAGAGACGATCAGGTCAACACCCGGGTCTATTGTGTAATATCCTAGTATTTCAATAATTTAACTGATATTTCAATTTCTAGTCTCTTAATGAAGTACTTAATATTTCAGAAATATGTTTTGTGTTATTCTGTTATGGTTGGATTTTTTTGTCTTGTTGTGTAGATGACACAATAAGACTTCATTGTCAACAATCCTACTGTTTTTTTTTCTAGGTTTTGTCATGTTGTTGTTCTGGGCCCAATTCCTCGTACGTGGTCCATCAAATGTCTCTTAGCCAGCTCAAATCAACCCGATGGCTGAAGTCAGGCTATCTTCGTTCCTCAAAGGATGATCTGCACTCAAACAAACAGTCTCAATATTTTAATTGTAATCGGGATAATCGTGCGTAGGGCTGTCACAATATCAAATTTTTGTTGTGCGATTATTGCACTAACATTTATTGCGATATGTGGTATTATGGCAATTTTCAGACCACTTTGTCGTCACTTTGTTACTTGTTCGCTAGTGCACTTTATGCTTAATATTTTTTAACTTTTTAATATTTAAAATTTGTAACTAACTTTATTCTCTTATTTTATACTGACCCATAGCCTTATTCTACTAACCCTTAGCATTAGCATTTCATTTTACTTTATTTTATTACTTGTGCACTGCTGTCTTGTTGTCTTTTGTTACACTGTCTACTGTCACGCACCAACCAACAAGACAAATTCCTTGTTTGTTTGACATATTTTGGCAATAAATGTTTCCTAATCCTGATTTGATCTGATAACATAATGACAATATAATATCATAGTAATAAAAGTACGTTCTTTCAAACATTTACATTTATAAAATTAAGTTAAACAACGTTTTATTTGTCAGCATAGTTCATTGGAATCACCAACAATTATTGCACGCGATTTCAGAGTGTGTAATATGTCATTTTATCGGATATTGCGACAGGCCTAATCTTGCGTCCTTCTGCAAAAGAGGGAAGAAACGATCACCGAAAAATTTATTTTCTAACAGAAAAACGTCAATTAAACTCAAAGAGGAGCCTCGTTTTTTCTCAGAGATGGTCATGAACGCATATGAGGAGTTCAAGACTATAATATGTATATTCTAATCATTTCTGTCATATGAATTGAATGTACTGTTCATCTTCTACGTTCTTCATTCTGTACTCATGACATCCATCGCAGTCTCTTCATCCCGGGAGAGGGATCCTCCTTCAATCTAATTAAAGGTTTCTTCCCTTTTATGCTCTCCATCAAACGGGAGTTTTTCCTGTGCCAATGTGAGGGTTTTGGGACAGAGGATGTTGCATGTGTGCAGATTGTAAAGCCCTCTGAAGCCGAATTGCAATATTGGTCTATATAAAATAAATTGAATTGAATAATCATGGCAAACTCAAACACCATCCCCACTGCGAGGGCTAGACGGCAAGCACGGCAAAATATTTAAATGTTATAAGTGTTAAATGCATAAGTGTTGGGAAAATGTATAAGCTCATTTAAGTGCCTCATCACTCGAAAACAATCAGATAGTATTTCTTTAAATGTGCCTGCTGGCAGTAAGCTTCATGGAATGCGATTTTAAGTAAGTAGATAAAAACAAGCCCAAAGAGTAGCTAATTTATATGAATGAATAGTTTTGAGGATGTAAGTACTTTATGCGTTTATGTATCATATGTATGTGTAGATGATCATATAGAACTAAGAGTTTGAATTTGAGTGTGTGAATATGTGTATGTGCGGATATATATTCTGATCCGCACATACACACACATATATATAAAATCAGAAATTCAATATATTGAAGCAGTGAAAACGTGGAACATCCAAAAGTTTATTAAGCGCCAAATAAACTTTACCAAGAGCACTCGGCAGCGTTCCCAATATTCTCCACATCTCAACACTGTACAAAAATGTACAGTCTGTGGCACAGTGCGTGGGACAGTATGAGAGACAGTATGAGAGACAGCCTGTGGGACAGTGCGTGGGACAGTATGAGAGACCGCCTGTAGGACAGTGCGTGGGACAGTATGAGAGACAACCTGTAGGACAGTGTGTGGGACAGTATGAGAGACAGCCTGTGGGACAGTGTGTGGGACAGTATGAGAGACAGCCTGTGGGACAGCGCGTGGGACAGTATGAGAGACTGCCTGTGGGACGGTGCGTGGGACTGTGGGACGGTATGAGAGGCAGCCTGTGGGACGGTATGAGAGACAGCCTGTGGGACAGTACGTGGGACGGTATGAGAGACAGCCTGTGGGACAGTGCGTGGGACAGTATGAGAGACAGCCTGTGGGACAGCGTGTGGGACGGTATGAGAGGCAGCCTGTGGGACAGTATGAGAGGCAGCCTGTGGGACAGTATGAGAGACAGCCTGTGGGACAGCGTGTGGGACAGTATGAGAGACAGCCTGTGGGACAGCGTGTGGGACAGTATGAGAGGCAGCCTGTGGGACAGTATGAGAGGCAGCCTGTGGGACAGTATAAGAGACAGCCTGTGGGACAGCGTGTGGGACAGTATGAGAGACAGCCTGTGGGACAGCGTGTGGGACAGTATGAGGGACAGCGTGTGGGACAGTATGAGAGACAGCGTGTGGGACAGTATGAGAGACAGCCTGTGGGACAGCGTGTGGTGTTCACCACATTACGGCTCTAGAAGGTCTTCCTGTAAACTAATGATTTCTTGTCGGCAGCATCGATAGTGCTCATAGGTCATTGATCTGGAAGAACTATCTCCCTATTAGGGTTGTCATGAAACCAAAATTGTGACTTTCATACTATACCTGCCAAAATGATACGGTACCCGATACTTA